TACTTGTGCAGCCATATACCATTATCACCTGCATACGGGTTTATACATGTATCTCTCAGTTGATTCGATATGCAAGAGCATGCTCTACGTATAAAAAATTTCTAAAACGAGTTAAATTATTGACAAACAAGTTGATAAAACAAGAATATCAGCAGTTTCGTTTAAAGTCATCATTTCGTAAGTTCTATGGTCGATTCAATGACCTTGTCAGCAAATACAATCTATCATCAAGTCATAAAGCTGACTGAGGTTTTCATGCTGATTGTTATTAGGCCATTATTTATACACTGAATTGTCTACGGATTTTTCCGTTATTTCCCGATCATGACAAGGATCATATGGCAGGTGTGACTGGTCGACAGGGGACGCTTACTCGTCCATGGCACCTTATCCCACCTCTGATGTTTTAGAGGTCCGTGTATGTTCTGCTCCTGATTTGTATTGTTTAAATGGACTTTTGAGCTTGAATACTGTAAATTATCTCCATCTATTTCATGTTAACATAAAATTAATTGGCAAAAAGTCCCAATCTTAATAACTCTTTTTTTTTTTAAATTCCACTTGCTGCAATACCCTGTATGACTATTCATGACACCGTTTGTTACTTTTTTAGTTAGTATTCAAGAGTATATGAATATTGGATAAAATAGTTACTTTTGTTTCAGGCAGTGAATATGAGAAATTTGATCTGTGTGTTATGCAACGTTTATACTCAACATATTTAATGCTTAACTATATAGTCACTCATGATGTAACAAATTACAAAGACCTAAGACAAGGTAGGGGTTGGCGTGTACTATTTTCTAATCATCTTAATATAGTAAGTGGAACTCTTTTTTTTTTAAATCACAGAATAGTTATGTTTGTTAATATGTTAAAAGACATAATTTAATGTTTGAGAAAGGTGTATGACAAGAAAAATAAATTTCACAGGATTCGAACTTTTTCAAAACCTCTTGGGTATGGCGAAAAAATGACAGCCTTGTCCATTGCGCTAAGAAATCTTGCCTGAGTGGCTTTATTTAAAGTGTTTGTTCAAGCACATAATTTTTCCCCAGAAAAGTTTCAATTTCAATTACCGTTCTGGTGGAATTACTGCCAACTTTTCATTTTCAATTTTACGTACAATACTTGTAAAATTACTGCTAACACTACCAATGTCCTCAATCGAGACCATTCTCATCATGCTTTTCGATCGCTCACTCGGTACACTCTCAGAATGGGGGGGGGGTTCCAAAGTGGTGATCAGTCACTGCGTATTGTGTAGCCAAGTACATTGTAATTTACCATGTGAAAAAGGGGATGCTGTTGCATCCTGTGAAAATGTGTTGTAACATTGCTATCTTCCCAAACAAGAGGAAATCAAATGTTTCTGACCGGTTCCACCTATGCATAGTTGTTGGTAACACTTCTACACTGATCTAAGAAGGAAATGTAGTTGGTAGTATGGATACTGCCACACTTCTGACCATTTAAGGGATCGTTGCTCCAATTCCCATCTGAACCATGCATCCCGGCTCCCTAAATCAACTGTATTTGCTTAGAACTCTGTTTTCTTTCTCTGCTTTTTACCTCTCTTAAAACAAATCTTCTAGTAGTAGCTTTTTCAATCATTATTCGGCTCTTCTAAAGTCATTACAAGTCGTGTTTTACCCAATTTGTTTTTCTTTAACTATCGATGTTAATGGTTGCTGCAACGTTCCACCTATATTAGGTCATCCATGAACCCTCGACTTGGTGATTGCCTGATGTTGGTTGATGTTTTGGACCTTTAGTTTCCATCCAGATTTTATTATCATGTTCATCCCCATGACAAACAAGATAACAAAGATAGTACATCCCATACCTACCTACCTAGTCCTTGTTGCACCTGAAGGCACATAGTGCAAGGACTAGGGATTTCCATTCTTCTCTGTTCTTGGCTATCCTTTCCGCGTAAGATTTATGTCTTTCAGCTCATAGTTACTCACATCCCATTGCTACTCCTTTCTGTAATTTCTACCATGCTGTCGTAAATGTGATTGTCGTAAACCGCAGCTCAAATCAACTGAAATAGCATCTTATGATTTTCTTGAAATGCTTTGGAACATACCGGTAGTTATGATTTAGCGATTCTGAATCAACGTGTGTTGAATAGTTCCTTAGGCATTGGCCAACTTTAATCATACTACTATATGGTGTTTCTTTTTCACTCTGGCTTCTTGAATCAGCTGAGAAATGACGCTAGTATGTTCAGTGCACACTGAAATTCAGGTACCCATCCCTTTTGTACAATTTATCGATGTAGTATATGATGCCATCCTTCTCGCCATAATAAAATAAAAGATCATTCCTTCTACATTTGGTAGGAAGATTGTCCGAGAATATGTGATGTTTTCTGATTCTCTTCTTTTGGAATAAAACATGTCTTAGCTTTCTGCCAGCATGATGGTATTTTCTCCTTTCTCGATACAACTTTTAATAAGCTCTATAGATTTTTTTAAAACAATTTTTGGACCCTTCTTATAAACTTTGTTTGGAATCCCGTTTGGTCCTAGTGCAAACTTTCTTCATTATAATTTTTTCCCATGATGGTCCCTTAATATTCATTGTTACATCTGGTTTTGGTACACTTTCTATTCTTCCACAGTTTCCGAAGTGCCACCATTGCCTTCCATCACTGTGTGTGTTTTGCTAAATGTTTTTTCAACTTCACTTTTTGTGCTTTGCACCGAGCCTGTCTTTGTCAAATCCAGTGTTGTTTTTGTAAACTAGTATGGGTTGACAACACACTTTGTTCTCTTTTCCTTCTTTCTCTTCTTGCTACATGATTCTTTCTGTCATCTGAAAGTTGTTTTTCTCTCCCTGAAATTGACCTTATCTCATTCTTCTCATTCCTCCTGCTTACTTTTCTGTAACAGTACTTTTCTCAGTGTTTGGATTTCTCTCTGTCGCCAGTTAGGTTTATTGGTGCCCTGGATGCCTTCTCTTTCTTTAGAACCTTTCTTGTCCAATTGTGTATATGATGACAGCTCTCTGTGCACGTTTCCAGTTAGTGTGATGTTTAATCTCTTATCTTCCTGGAAGATTTCTTATTTTAACATTTGTTGGTGACCATTGTACATTTTTGTTTCTTACCTGCTGAAGGCTCTGTAGTTGTATTTTGTTGGTTTTGATGCCCTTGCTCCTCCTTAATACACTGAGTGGCACCATTAGGTAAAGATCCTGTGGTATTCTTCTTGGCTGTGGTCCTCCATCGTCATCAGTGTAACTGTGCGTTCCCAGATCCACACTTAGTTCTTGCTTTGTGTATCCTTAAACCCTTCAAGTTCTTGTACACCCTCCCACAATGACAATAGGCTTCTGTCGTTGTTCCAATAAAAATTGTCTGTTAGTCTGTGTTATAATTTTGTTTAATGTACTTCACAGGAACTGAGTTGGATGCCAACTATTCACACACTTGTTTCAGTCAAAGAGAGTGCGATCGGATCCCATTTTTTAAAACATAAAATAGACTTTTTTTCACGTTCCTTTCACGTACACGTTATTGTAGAATGGAGATTTGATCCACTCAGATACATTTTTATGCTTTTATAGACCAATTTTCCACTAAATTGTACCTCTCCTAAATTGCTTTACCGTCAGGTTAAAAACAAATCATCAATCAATGAATGATTTAATAAAATAGAGGAATTAAAAAAGTTAAAAATGGCATTATTGACAAAAACTTTTGAAAACAAGATGTGTTTGTGAAACACTGATGCCACCGTATGGCAACTAATAGGAAAGGTTAAACTTTTTCACATGCAAATCAAATATGTTGGTACCCAAAGTAAGGTCTTGTCTCGAGGAATATGCCTGTGAAATGTGAGAACCCTAGCAGCAACCATTGAATAGATATGGAAAAGGTTAAAGTTTTTCAAAAGTAAGTCAAACATCAAGGTCAAGGTCAAATGGTAAAAAATATTGGTGCCTAAGGAAAGGCCTTCTCATAAGAAATATACTGGTGAAATATGAAAGCTGAAGCACTAATCGTTCAAAAGTTATTACCAAGGTTTAAGTTTCCAAAAGTAGGTCAAACTCCAAGGTCAAGGTCAATGGATTACAATTGTTGGTATCCAAAGGAAGGTCTTGTCACAAGGATTACATATGTGAAGTATGAAATCCCTAGCACCAACGGTTCACAAGTTATGGCCAAGGTTAAAGTTTTCCAAAAGTAGGTCAAACTCCAAGGTCAAAGGGTCAAAGTTATTGGTATCCAAAGGAAGGACTTGTCACAAGGATTACATATGTGAAGTATGAAAGCCCTTGCACCAATCGTTCAAAAGTTATGGCCAAGGTTAAAGTTTTTCAAAAGTAGGTCAATCTCCAAGGTCAAGGTCAAAGGGTCAAAGTTGTTGGTATCCAAAGGAAGTCTTGTCACATGAATTACATATGTGAAGTATGAAAGCCTTAACACCAACTGTTCAAAAGTTATATTCAATGTTAAAAGTTTCTCAAAAGTAGGTCAAACTCCAAGGTAAAGGTCAAAGGGTCAAAGTTGTTGGTATCCAAAGGAAGTTCTTGTCACAAGGATTACACTTGTGAAGTATGAAAGCCCTAGCTCCAACTGTTCAAAAGTTATGGCCAAGGTTAAAGTTTTAAAATTTTGTAAAACTAGGTCAAATTCCAAGGTCAAGAGGTCAAATATGGTGGTATCCAAAGAAAGGACTTGTCACGAGAAATACATATGTGAAATATGAAAGCCATAGCTCCAACCAATCAAAAGTTATGGGCAATGTTAAAGTTTTTGCGGACAAACAGACAAACAGATAAACAGACAAACAGACAGACGGACGGACAGGGCAAAAACTATATACCCCCGAATCTTCGATACGGGGGCATAAATATAATTTTTAATGAACATTGAAGATTACGAAATATATCGTCTTAGAGCGGGGGATTGTCCTAACACTGTACGCTGAAATGGACATATACGAGTTATTCTATGTACGACACGTCTAATATCAAACAAAAAGAAAATGGCAGATCCGGGCGACATTTTCGGTAGCGGAGCGGAAAGTGATGAAGGTTTGCTGTTTTACGAAAGTTTATATGAGATTTAGCTATATTTATGTTATTGATAATCCATGCTTACGTTTCAGAACGATAACAATCGTCGTTAGATTTTTAGTATCAGTGTATAGACATATATATTTTATTAGTGCTAAGGAAATTCTAACTGAAAATTTAATGTCTATCATTTAACATACTTATCATTTAAGTAATTTTACTACTTATTTGTTTTAACGACGTGAAACAGAAGAAAATGTGATCTTCTTCAGAATAGTATTCATTCAGCTTGTACCTATTACTATATAGTTATATATTCCATTCTCATCAGGTCCTGCACAATCTCTTAATTTAGTTTATCGTGGTTCCATTGTATTGGAGGAATTTTAAAACACTTTTGGAATAAATCTGTTAGTATATATACGTTCCTGTTAATATGAATATACAATACATAACTCGATTTAAGAGAAGACATTTAATTTTGATTATAATGTTTCATGTGACAGCTGTTAACTATGAATACCTAAAGTTGGGTAGATAGGGTAGACTTTACTGGTCTCCAGATCTGCAAGATCTTGGTTGTACTAATACATAATTACTTGTCATTTGCTGTACTGATACATAATTACTTGTCATTGGCTGTACTAATACATAATTACTTGTCATTGGCTGTACTGATACATAATTACTTGTTGGTACCTGTACTGATACATAATTCCTGGTGTTGCCTGTACTGATACATAATTACTTGTCATTGGCTGTACTAATACATAATTACTTGTTGGAGCCTGTACCGATATATAATTCCCGGTGATGCCTGTACTGATACATAATTACTTGGTGATGGCTGTACTGATACATAATTACTTGGTGATGGCTGTTTCGTTGGTTTGTTTACATGAAAAAAAATGGCGAAGTACAAAAGAAATGGCACTAAGCATGTGCCACAAGGGCTACACTGACAAATTATTTCGTCTCCTTTTCACTGAATAAACTTTTTTTTTCAGAGAACAAGGTTAAAAAATTCATTTAAAAACAAAGTTTTAAACTAAATATTTAACCATAGAATTTGATTTTTGGGTAAAAAATGCTTAAAACCTCATACTTTTTATTTTTTTCAATCGCTCACCCGATCACATATATATTTGAATAAGCCACGCTATATTTTAGCATGTTTTCCTGGGGACTGGTAAAGTAAAGTCGTTCTCCTAAAGTTATATGTTCGTCGTGAAATGATTTAGATTTATACACTTTTAAATACCATGATTATTTATGACACTAGGATAAATGTTGTATTGATAAATAAGGACTATTATAGGGGATGACTGAAGTAACATAGTCACTTTTGTGCTCCAAACTTCACCGTAAAGTGAAGCTTAAGTCGCCTTAACATTTTCACCTCTTCCCCCCAATTTTTTAATCATAAAAAAATCTATTAAGATAATGTGTTAGCATCACTACTATTGTATAAACCTCTTTGGTGTTATCACTGAATAACACAGGGCACTTGCACCTTTTTTGGTGCTATTGACCGCTGCATCGAATACTCAGTGAGAACTGTAGAATTCATGAAAAAGTACATTGTTACAAAATTATACACAGCATATTTTTCTGTTAACTTGTAGAGCTATTAATAGTCTTAAGTGATCACATATATGAAATGAAGGCTGACTGCATGAAGTCACTCAATCAGCATTCAGTAGTAGATCAGATTTTCATTATAAACTTTTAAACAATTACTATTCTTGGTTTTCATTTATTACTATAATAGTAAGCTTTGTTTAATTGAATTCATAGAAAGTCATGGATCTAGATCCCCTGGAAGTGGAAGCCCAGGGAGTCACCATTCAGGAAGTCCAGCTGGCAGTCCAGCAGGATCAGGAAGTCCAGCTCATAGTGGTTCACCACAGAGAAGTGGATCTGGATCACCACCGAACAGTCCTGGAGCTATGTCTGGTTCCCCAGCAAGCCATCACTCTGGAACTCCAGACAGGAGTCAGTCTGTAACTCCTGCAGGATCACCAGCGTCACACAGGTATAACTTTACCCATAGAAAGAAGGAGTAAAACAATAGGAACTTTGAAATTTTAAGGTCACCTGAGTCTCTGCAGTTTCAAGCTTGTCAAATTAATAATATGCAAGCATTATCATTTAAATTAGATTTTAAAAATTGTTCAATCCATGGTCCCTTGAGAAGAATTGAAGCAACAAAAGGGGTTTAAATTGTTTAAAGGGAGGTAACAAACATTAATTTAAAGACTAATAATTAATCTGATAGACTTATATATAAAGCACACAAATAAACAATGTTGTCCACTCAAGTCAGAATTTAATCAAACTGTTCTCCACTTGACTAACATGACTTTTTTTGCATATCATAAAAGCAGATAACTTACAAGTGATGTCCTTAAAAATGTTTTAGGTCAGGTTCACCAGCTCGATCAGGAAGCCCAAGAAGTAGGTCAGGAAGCCCTGTTAGAAGTAGGTCAGGGTCCCCAGCAAGAAGTGGATCAGGATCACCAAGGAGTGCATCAGGTAGTCCAGCCAGAAGTGGATCTGGATCACCAGCTAGGAGTAGATCAGGTAGTCCAGCAAGAAGTGGATCAGGAAGTCCTAGAAGTAGGTCAGGTTCCCCTGCAAGAAGTGGTTCAGGTTCACCAGCAAGAAGTAGGTCAGGCAGTCCAAGAAGCAGGTCGGGTAGTCCAAGAAGTAGATCAGGTTCTCCAGCAAGAAGCAGGTCTGGTACACCAATGGCCAGAAGCAGGTCAGGGAGTCCAAGAAGCAGGTCAGGAAGTCCCAGAAGTAGATCAGGAAGTCCCAGAAGTAGATCAGGGAGTCCAGCTAGAAGTGGGTCTGGATCCCCTACAAGAAGCAGATCAGGCAGTCCAGCCAAAAGTAGATCCAGGAGCCGGTCACGGAGTAGGAGTCCAGGTAAAGTAGGACTTCATATAAACTGAAAAATGTCTTTGATGAGTTAAATATTATGCTTGTTATTTTATTGTAGTAATAATTAACAAAGAACAGGCATTAACTTTTGAATGTTGAGGAATTTGACGTATTCTTAACAGGGCGGGGTTCAGGGAGTGACAGTGGGTCAGACATTGGAAGAAGGAAGAAAAAAAAGAAAGTGGGCTCTGGGTCAGACTCAGATGATAATATGGGTGGTAAGTTGTTCAGTAAGGCCTAAATTGATAATATGTTTATTTGCTCTTCTCCAGCTCATCCTTTTAGTCTTGGTAAATATGTAGATCAAATATTTTTTTCTGATTATATTGAACATGTGCAAAAATATTTGAAAAGAAAAATAAGAAAAAAGAATAAAATGTAATTCTATTGTTAAATATTATAAATGATATTTTTTTTATATAGCAAACAGTAATGATTTTTTAAGAATTAAAATGTTTTCTGAATTAGTGCAACATTTAGCTGTTACATTCAGTGTAGATGTTAGACAACATTTGTTTACAGCCACGGTGGGGAACTTGTTTGGGGACGCTGATGACATCAGCTCAGACGAGGAGGATAAGGCCAGGAAATCAGATGCCGAGGATGAAGGGGAAAGATCTGATCAAGAAAGACAGGTATGCTGTATGAACTGTGAACTGTTACATGTAAAATAAGTCTTGTCGTTATAATTCTGTCAAGAGATATAAAGCATAATTTTTGTTTGTATCCCTGTTTAAATGTCACACTGTTTCAATTTTTTTTTTATTTAGAACTAAATTTCTTTATTCTCACCATTGTATTGACTTGTACAGACCCTAAAACGTGCTACTACACCACTTGCACGGTCGGTTCGTTTCGTTTTGTGTACGGTACGGTACGCTTCTTGCACGGAACAGTATGCTTTGTGAACGGTACGGTTCGCTTTCTGCACGGTATGGTACGCTTCTTGCACGGAACGGTTCGTTTTGTGTACGGTACGGTTCGCTTTGTGCACGGTACGGTACGCTTCTTGCACGGAACAGTTCGTTTTGTGAACGGTATGTAAATTAAGTTGGTGGAGCCTGTACGCTTTAGTTTATGATTGGCTACTTCATAAATTAAGTCGTTTATTTCTTTAATATAATCTCTTTATTTTACATAAATGGAAGGACCGTATCACAAGCATTTTTAATAGGTTGTTTTTAAGTTAAAGCTGTTATAAATATTTCCTTTTTACAGCTGTATTTTCGTTATTACATGTAACAAGTCGTCTTATTAACTGTATCTTCTTTTAATTTACTTTTTGTTTGAACTACTTTCAATTTTTAAAATAAAATAATTTTAGTTTTCTATTTATTATCTTATTTTGTACACCATCGCCTTATGGTTCAATAACTTGAAATAAATCGAACATATCAACAAACACTGCATAACATGAAAAAAAAATATGTTGGTTGCCTCGCCATAAAGGCTTTTCTGTATTTCTTTTTTAAGAATAAGCGTACATGTTTTTTCCCCTTTTAATTTTCCTAATTGAGTACAATTATTTTTTTAAATATTCACTTATCACACTTTTAAACAAATGAGTTTGATTTTATAAATCCCTCATGCTTTCATTTCGTCTACCATTCTTTTTACAGTCTTGTCGCTGTTGCTTCATTAAAACAAACAAACAAACAAACAAAATTTATTTTCTCTTGACCGAATGATCAAACAAACAATTAATAAATAAGTTATTATTTTCATATTTATTTGCGAGGAATTTAATTTTTGCTTAGGTGTTTAGCTTACTAGGAAAAATACATTGAGAAGTAATCAGTAGAAGTGCACACAATTAGTGCAAAATATTACTTAATTTTTTTTCCTTTTTACATAAATTTTCCATCAATGTGTAAAAACGATTTTTAAAGGGAAGTTACAATCAAGAAAACAGTTAAGACAGCTTCAATTCCATCTACAATGTATAAATGTATATAATATATATTGACTGCAAAGAAAGATTTCCGAAATAAATATGTCAAAATGTTAGAAATAAATAGTCCGTTTTCAATTACTTAGAAAATAAATAATATGCAGCCATGCATGTCCTCAAAAACTTTGAAAATGAAGAATTTGCCCATGCCGGGTGCTACCCCCCCCCCCCCCCCTTTGTTTCCTTGTCAAACTCTTTTTTATTGAAAATCTAGAAGAAAAGCTGACTGCACATGAAATTCTACTTATCTGCTGATTAAAACTGGTTCATTGTTGTAGACTTACTGTGTAAGACAGCAAACTATTGATACACGTGTGAATGTAGGCATATCTGGATTAACGGAATTAGAAAAGGGTTCAATATACCCAGTTTAAGTTTTTACCTGTGCACGTGTGATGACAATACTTGATCGAAATTTTCAAATGTTTTAGAGTAAATAACAAAAGCATAGAAAGACGTCAGTCTAGATAAAAGACCATTGCAAGAAGCGTACAGTGTTTCTTGAAGAAAAAAAATTGGATGAACACGCATGCACGGACCAAGCATTTAATAAAAAAAAGATTAAACTGGTCTTTATATGTAAATTCCAGGTAACATATTTTACCTGCAGGTTTCAGTGAATAAAGCAAATGAAATGGGAAAATGCTTTGAATAAAAATTAATTCTGACATATATCCAAATTTTTTTTAATTACGTGTATTAAACTGAAAATTCCATGCGAAAATGTGGCGATCGAACTTTTTGACAGTATGTTATATTGGCGATAACATCTTGGGTTGGTCAGAAGAGTGTAAACCAACACACGTTATTTTTATATACATCGCTTTTATTTTTTTTCTAGTGATTGAGAGGCGTTTAAATTTAACATGTCCGGTTTCAAATTGACAATTTAGTTCGAAAGTTTTTTTAATTTTCTTTTTTTTCTTTTTTATTATTATTATTATTATTATTATTATTTTTTTTTGCTAAATCTTTAATCATTTCTCCCTAAAACTATTACTTACATGAATAAAAATTATTTTAAGGGCTTGATTTCGGAAAATAGCACAGAATACTAATACATTTTTCAATGAACGTTTCCGAGAACGTTCATAGAGACAAGAATAGGGTAGATAAAAGCTATAGAAATAAACGATAAAGTATTTAATTCACTTTTATTTATTATAAATTGTACACGAAAATATAACGATACTGCATTTAATATGAAATAAAAAATTTTAGTCAAGCACAACCCGATCATGCATAGCGAATAAGGAATCGCCTCACACTCTGTCGAGTTGTTTTGAAGTCATAACTAGTTTTGAGTAGTTTCCTTATATTTACAGATGTAAGTCCAGATGCATGATACTTAAAAATAATATTTTGAATGTCTACGGTTATTTTCCATCCTTCTTTAACGAGCGCTGCGTCAAGAGTAATAAAACATAAACACTTACTGTAATTGGTCATTGCAAGATCGGGGCGTGGCTTGCATAATTATATCAAAAATTATTCATGAACGGTACGGTTCGCTTTGTGCACGGTACGGTACGCTTCTTGCACGGAACGGTTCATTTCGTGTACGGTATGGTTCGCTTTGTGCACGGTACAATACGCTTCTTGCACGGAACGGTTCGTTTTGTGTACGGTTCGGTTCGCTTTGTGCACGGTACGGTACGCTTCTTGCACGGTACGGTTCGCTTCGTGTACGGTACGGTTCGCTTTGTGCACGGTACTGTACGCTTCTTGCACGGAACGGTATGGTTCGTTTCTGAGGTGTAGTAGCACGTTTTAGGGTCTGTATAATCTTCATATTGCACTATTTCGATGGTATGACATATATTGCACTATTTTTGTTGGTGTGACATATATTGCACTATTTTTGATGGTATGACATATATTGCACTACTTCTGATTTTATGACTTATATTGCACTATTTCTGATGGTATGACATATATTGCACTACTTCTGATGGTATGATATATATTGCACTATTTCTGATGGTATGACATATATTGCACTATATCTGATGTTGTGACTTATATTGTTGCCAGGGTCCTGTTATTGATGATGAAGATGAGGAACAAGTAGAAGAAGAGGCTCCAGAGACGAGGATTGAGGTAGAAATTCCTCGAATTATGACAAACCTTGGGAAAATTCTGCACTATGTCAAACTGCCAAACTTTCTCAGTGTGGAAACAAGGTAAGGGCAACAACTCTGGCAATAGTGAATATCAGACCATTGGGAAACTTTTACATTTGTCAGGTGTTACTTTTCATGTTATCATTTTTAGACCATATGATAACCAGACTTATGAAGATGAAATTGATGAAGATGAAGTCTTAGATGAAGAAGGCAGAGCTCGTCTAAAACTAAAGGTAAAACATATTAATGTTTTTATTAAAACAATCTATTGGAATGAATAGAAATTCTTAAAGACTTAAAATCTATTTCCTTAATTTATTGTATCTGACAAACAGGTAGAGAACACAATTCGCTGGAGGAAGAAATTAAATGAAGATGGTACAGAGGCAGTGGATGAGTTAGGGAACCCAGTACGTGAAAGTAATGCTCGTGTAGTCCGCTGGTCAGATGGCAGGTCAGAGTTTTCTCTTTCTTCTGGTACAGTATAAGTTAAAACTTAATACAAGAAGGTTGATTATCAGTTACTGAAGACATGTTTTTTTCCGCTCGGGATTAATTTACACTGAGTATGTGGAAATTTGTCACAGCGTACTAAAGTGCATTCAAGTCCATTCTTGTAGCATACAAGAAATCCATTTAATTTTTACCCGCTACAGAAACTCACATTCTGTCAGACTCTGTGGAATTATGACCCTATGGAAAAAAGTAATTTTTCAGTATTCGTTTTGGCAGAATGATATAATTTTTATAAATCTTGTAAGTACTATAAGTGATTACAATGATATTTTGGAAGTTGAGTATTTAGATTTAATTGTGAGATATGACGATAATGCTGAGACAGAGTTACATTTGTTTGGTTGCAGCATGTCTCTCCACCTGGGGGATGAGATCTTTGATGTACACACGATGCCAATACAGGGAGACTTCAATCACTTGTTTGTAAGACAAGGAACGGGGTTGCAGGGACAGAACATTTTTAAAACCAAACTGGCATTCAGGTAATGAGCTTACTGCAGTTAATGGTAGTCATTTCACTGTAGTTAATGGTAGTCATTTCACTGTAGTTAATGGTAGTCATTTCGATGGTGTTATTGAAAGTCATTTCACTGCAGTTAATGGTAGTTATTTGGTGGCATTAATGGTAGTCGTTTCACTGTAGTTAATGGTAGTCATTTCACTGTAGTTAATGGTAGTCATTTCACTGGCGTTATTGATAGTCATTTCACTGCAGATAATGGTAGTTATTTGGTGGCGTTAATGGTAGTCATTTCATTGGTGTTATTGATATTCATTTCACTGCAGTTAATGGTAGTCATTTCACTGCAGTTCATTGTACTGAGAGTTTTCTATTGTGTCTTAAACTTAATCTGTATTGTCTCATTCTTATTCTGAAGTTTCTTGTACAAAAAAATATAATGCTTAGATGAGCTCAAATGAAAGCATTGAAAAGATATTAGAAGAATATATGTAGCTCTACATGTGAGATGTGCAATATAAATTGAATTTTTATTTTCTTTTTAGGCCACATTCAACAGAATCCTTTACTCACAGAAAGATGACCTTGTCTCTAGCAGACAGGTCCACCAAAGCTCAGAAGGTCAAGGTCCTTCCCATTTCAGGTCGTGACCCTGATGCACACAGAAGTGAAATGATCAAGGTATGGTAATCTTTACATTCCCCTCACGTAACAGGTTTGACAGATTTTAAAATGTGTACAGATTAATTCCTTACAACTGAACTCTGTCCAGATTAATTCCTTACAACTGAACTCTGTCCAGATTAATTCCTTACAACTGAACTCTGTCCAGATTAATTTACATACAACTGAACTCTGTACAGATTAATTACATACAACTAAACTCTGTACAGACTAATTAATACAACTGAACTCTGTACAGATTTATTACATACAACTGAACTCTGTACAGATTAATTAATACAACTGAACTCTGTACAGATTAATTACTTACAACTGAACTCTGTACAGATTTATTCAAACAACTGAACTCTGTACAGATTAATTAATACAACTGAACTCTGTACAGATTAATTACATACAACTGAACTCTGTACAGATTAATTACTTATAAATGAGCTCTGTACAGATTAATTAATTCAACTGAACCCTGTACAGATTAATTACTTACATCTGAATTCTGTACAGATAAACGACATACAACTGAACTCTATACAGATTAATTACTTACAACTGAACTCTATACATATTAATTAATAGAACTGAACCCTGTACAGATTAATTACTTACAACTGAACTCTATACAGATTAATTACTTACAACTGAACTCTGTACAGATTAATTAATAGAACTGAACCCTGTACAGATTAATTACTTACAACTGAACTCTGTACAGATTAATTAAAAAAACTGAACTCTGTACAGATTAATTACTTACAACTGAACTCTGTACAGATTAATTACTTACAACTGAACTCTGTACAGATTAATTAATACAACTGAACCCTGTACAGATTAATTACTTACAACTGAACTCTGTACAGGTTAACGACATACAACTGAACTCTGTACAGATTAATTACATACAACTGAACTCTGTAAATATTAATTACATGTAAATGAACTCTGTAAAAATTAATTACATATAAATGAACTCTGTACAGATTAATTACATACAACTGAACTCTGTACAGATGTACTACCTGTATGTACTGGTTTATAGCTAACCTGAATATGTCAGTGTTTCCCAGATATTCCTCAGAAATTCAATAAAACTTTCATGTTTTTTAATGTATGTAGTTCTTCCTTTCATTTTATCAGTGTATCATGTTAGGTTTTTCTGTTTATTGGCAGGCATTTATGTATCCCAAACGACAGTGTTGCATAATAATTAAAAATGTATACATTTTAAACATTATAATGCAAGTGAAAGTGACTTTTGGGATATTTTGTTTTAAAAAAATTTGGTTTAATTCTTGATTATCTCTTTTCCTTGTACATTTATCACAGTTTCTTATACAAATATATACTGTAAAGTACATTTTATTTGCAAGAACTTTATTTTCACGTAATTATGGAAGACCTTCTGCTCGCGCAAATTTCATTCTCATGTATATTAATCTTATGAAGGATTATGTACATCAAAAAACAATATTCATGAAAATTTTGTCTTGCTTATTAATACCAAATAATTTTCTCGCAAAATAGGGTGTTGCAAAAAGTTTTTTGATCGACAGTTTATTTCTACATCAATATTCAATAAAAGTTTCTCCTCTTAAGTCTAATGGAGTTTAAAATTAAGGCATAAGGAAATATGCAGAGATGAATGCAGTACTACATATTTGTGTGTCATTGTTTCCCTTTAATCAGATGAACATGTAGCTCTCAGAAACAATCTGTATTGAGTGATTAGGAGTTACTGCCCTTTGTCTCTGACACGTAAAGAAATGGTGCATTTTTTTTATCATTGTAGAAAGAAGAAGAAAAGCTCCGAGCCTCTATTCGAAGAGAAAGTACAAGGAGGCGAATGAAAGAAAGAAGTCAGCATCGTGGTTTGAATGCACGGTATCTAGAGGACGGGGAGGATGATGATGAGGGAGGTGTGTCACTTAACGAGCTGAAAAAGGAGTATAAACAGAAACGGGGTAAGTGTCAAAGGTGTTAACATATGAACAGAAATGGGGTAAGTGTCAAAGGTGTACACATACAAACAGAAACGGGGTAAGTGTCAAAGGTGTTATTACATATAAACAGAAACAGAGTAAGTGTCAAAGGTGTTAACATATAAACAGAAACAGGGTAAGTGTTAAAGGTGTTAACATGTAAACAGAAACGGGGTAAGTGTCAAAGGTGTTAACATATAAACAGAAATGGGGTAAGTGTCAAAGATGTTAACATATAAACAGAAATGGGGTAAGTGTCAAAGGTGTTACATACAAGAGGCCCATGGGCCACATCGCTCACCTGAGTAACTTTGGCCATGCTGTTCTTTACCAGATTCCCCCCCCCCCCCCTTGTAATACCTATTGTGGCCCCACCCTACCCCGTTGGGTCCTGTTTGAACAATTTAGAATCTACACTACCCAAGGATGCTTCCACATAAGTTTCAGCTTTTCTGGCCCAGTGGTTCTTGAGAAGAAGATTTTTCAAGATTTTTCCTATATATTTCAATGTAAAACTTGGATTCCCTATTGTGGCCCCGCCCTACCCCCGGGGGTCATGATTTTAACAATTTAGAATCTACACTATCCCAGGATGCTTCCATATAAGTTTCAGCTTTTCTGGCCCAGTGGTTCTTGAGAAGAAGATTTTTCAAGATTTTTCCTATATATTTCAATGTAAAACTTGTATTCCCTATTGTGGCCCCGCCCTACCCCCGGGGGTCATGATTTTAACAATTTAGAATCTACACTACCCAAGGATGCTTCCACATAAGTTTCAGCTTTTCTGGCCCAGTGGTTCTTGAGAAGAAGATTTTTCAAGATTTTTCCTATATATTTCAATGTAAAACTTGGATTCCCTATTGTGGCCCCACCCTACCCCGTTGGGTCATGATTTTAACAATTTAGAATCTACACTACCCAAGGATGCTTCCACATAAGTTTCAGCTTTTCTGGCCCAGTGGTTCTTGAGAAGAAGATTTTTCAAGATTTTTCCTATATATTTCAATGTAAAACTTGGATTCCCTATTGTGGCCCCGCCCTACCCCTGGGGGTCATGATTTTAACAATTTAGAATCTACACTACCCAAGGATGCTTCCACATAAGTTTCAGCTTTTCTGGTTCAGTGGTTCTTGAGAAGAAGATTTTTCAAGATTTTTCCTATATATTTCAATGTAAAACTTGGATTCCCTATTGTGGCCCCGCCCTAACCCCGGGGGTCATGATTTTAACAATTTAGAATCTACACTATCCCAGGATGCTTCCATATAAGTTTCAGCTTTTCTGGCCCAGTGGTTCTTGAGAAGATTTTTAAAGATTTCTTCCTATATATGTCAATGTAAAACTTGGATTCCCTTTTGTGGCCCCGCCCTACCCCCGGGGGTCATGATTTTAACAATTTAGAATCTACACTACCCAAGGATGCTTCCACATAAGTTTCAGCTTTTCTGGCCCAGTGGTTCTTGAGAAGAAGATTTTTCAAGATTTTTCCTATATATTTCAATGTAAAACTTGGATTCCCTATTGTGGCCCCGCCCTACCCCCGGGGGTCATGATTTTAACAATTTAGAATCTACACTACCCAAGAATGCTTCCACATAAGTTTCAGCTTTTCTGGCCCAGTGGTTCTTGAGAAGAAGATTTTTCAAGATTTTTCCTATATATTTCAATGTAAAACTTGGATTCCCTATTGTAATTTACAATCTACACTATCCCAAGAATGCTTCCACATAAGTTTCAGCTTTTCTGGCCCAGTGGTTCTTGAGAAGAAGATTTTTCAAGATTTTTCCTATATATTTCAATGTAAAACTTGGATTCCCTATTGTGGCCCCGCCCTACCCCCGGGGGTCATGATTTTAACAATTTACAATCTACACTATCCCAAGAATGCTTCCACATAAGTTTCAGCTTTTCTGGCCCAGTGGTTCTTGAGAAGAAGATTTTTCAAGATTTTTCCTATATATTTCAATGTAAAACTTGGATTCCCTATTGTGGCCCCGCCCTACCCCCGGGGGTCATGATTTTAACAATTTAGAATCTACACTACCCCAGGATGCTTCCACATAAGTTTCAGCTTTTCTGGCCCAGTGGTTCTTGAGAAGAAGATTTTTTAATGACCCCACCCTATTTTTGTCTTTTCTTGATTATCTCCCCTTGTAAGGGGACTTGGCCCTTTATCTTAACAATTTTAACTCCCCTTCAGCCAGGGATACTTTGTACCAAGTTTGGTTAAAATTCGCCCAGTGGTTCTTGAGAAGAAGTCAAAAATGTGAAAAGTTTACAGACGGACGGACAGACGGACGGACAGACGGACGGACAGACGGACGGATGACGGACAACGGGTGATCAGAAAAGCTCACTTGAGCTTTCAGCTCAGGTGAGCTAATAAACAGAAACGGGGTAAGTGTTAAAGGTGTAAACATATAAACAGAAACAGGGTAAGTGTCAAAGGTGTTAACGTATAAACAGAATTGGGGTAAGGAAATAAAAGACAATGAGCAAAACTTTTATTATCACTGGTTATACAGGGTATTAATGGTGCATTGTCAATTTGAGTTTTTCTGTGTATTTATACAGTCTAACTTTACATCAATGATTCATTTTTATGCTCACTTAGATGCACCAAATTTCAGGCTTAATGTCATCCATACCAATGATTTTGTCAAGGGCTAGCACTATATCAATGCAAAGTTTAATTGAAAATAAGTTTTTTCAGTTAAAAACACATATCTGATGACAGATAGTTGATGACAGATAGCTTGTCAGAGAGGGTGTAATTTTATTTTTGTAGCTGACCGGTTCCAGACAATTTACTCCTCAGACAGTGATGATTCTTACTCGGAGGGGGAGAAATCAGGGCGTCTGATGAGGGCCAAGAAAGGCGGAAGTGATGAGGTACAAGAAACACTGACTTCAGGGTTAGAAACTCCCTAAAATTCCAACTCGCAAATAATTGCGAGTACCAAGCAAGTGAACTCGCAATTTTATAAGACTACTCGCAATTTTCATATAAAGTTAAATTTATATAAATTAAATACATGTAACTTAAGGAAAAAGTAACTACTGTACAATACACAAAATACAACTACAGTGTGACTTTTATTTAAATTACTGATTTAAATCAAAGGCATTGTGTTCTGTCATATTATATAATTTTGCTACAGTTTCAATGCAAAAAAAATTCAACTCGCAAGTTTTTGCGAGTTACCCAAGTTTTAACTCGCAATTTGGGAATTCTAACTCGCGTTTTGGGAGTTGTATATAGTGAATTTCGAACCCTGGACTTTGTTATTTATAGTTAATGTAGCACATTATACAGTCATTGTAGAACCATTAATTTACATGAAAGGACAGTAGTATACTCACTTCACTGAGACCGTTGTCTTAATATTTGCTTTGCAGTCCACTAAATGAATACATTATCAAGTAACGTATGATTGTAAAGAGAATCTGACACCAGATAGCATTTCCTCAGTTGGTAATCTTATTGTGCCCCCATTTTTAAAATGGGGGGAGGGGTGGCATATAAAGTTACAGATATCCATCCATATGTTTGTTCAGCTGTGGTTTCTGTGCAAAAATGTAAGGAGTATTACTTAGTATCAGGATTACCTCTCAGTTATCTACCTTACTGTCATTCATTCGTGGGAAAGTCTAGGAAGCTCTAAATCTTGTGAGATTTCCAGGACATAACATTGTTTACACTAGTGACAATTGAATAATTCGAACAATATGCTTGAAGTGCAAAATATTGCCGAGGGTTGCACTCTAGATAGTAGGTCATCCAATTCAGAATATTTAGAGTATTTTATTGTCTTCCAAAAGTAATTATTATTGGAAAGAAATGGTTGAATTTAATTAGAAGAGTAGGCTTAGCAGAATATATCAGTGAAAATGTAACACTGGAGTACTAGCTCCTCATAAATTTTGTAAGTGTGGTGCACTGAATGTCAGCAAGATATTTCACCAACTCTTCTTTCTTATGTATCTTTAAAAAGTCTACAGTGATAGAACTTGCGGTATATTCACCAGCACATTGTCCCCAGCTAATGGACGTTTTCTACCTCCATCACGAAATTTTATTTGTACTTGTCATTAGTAATTAAAAAGTTGGCCAACACACAAAGCAGGACCCCTTAATGCCTCATTTCATTAATTAGCATAACCTTACAATACACATTTTAAAATTGAATATTGTGGTTTCATATTTCAAATCTTTTCAATTTTGTTGAATTAATTGGAATGCGTTAAGTGTATTTTAAGAATAGGATTATATACCGATATTAAATGAAGTGGTATTTTATCAGTAAATTTCAAACAACCACTCTGTATGGTATGGATACAGAGTATCGATGTCCTACCCTTCTAGCTCAACTCTTAGGAAAGCTGTCATATTGATCTTTATTAAACTGAAGTTGTTTCCTTTATCTGCTATTCAGATTGTGCTTTTACTTTTAATGTGTTTTCTCTGACTTTGCACAACATTATACAAAAAAACAAAACACAAACTTGTTACTGGATACCCAAATACATGTATTTGTCTGAGTACTCTAACAACTCTAACAGCTGGGAAAGTCGGGTTCATTCAAGAGAAGTAGTATCCAGCTCCAAGCGAGAACAGTGTGGCTTCTAAGTTGATTGCATCTCTGTTCTTTAAACAATCCATCCACATTACTGTATTACACAAATGCATCTTCTTGAAACACCTTAAAACATTTTAATCATACCCAATATTTTATTTTACAAAGCAATGAAACTTAGAATTGCCTTTTGGCTCAGCTTCACACTGCATGATTGTGCTACATAAATGTAGCCCACATTTGGGCATTCTTGTCCTATTGACATATTTCTGGTTACTTTGTAACAAAAAGGATGAAAACAGCAATTATCCTCCATGTCAAAAATGTCAAGTTTCTGTAAATGTCAAACAAATCTCTTAATAATTAACTGGCATTCAATTAAGAAAATGGCTGACCCTAAAAAATTGGGTAGGCTGGAACAGCTGACATACAAGTGATTTTAAAATGACATAGATACAGTGTGTATGTGTAGGAGGTAAAGGGCATGATTAAAAGTAAATTAAATGAAATGAGTTTTAAATGATCCAGAGTTTCAAATTCAGGTCAATCTGAAAAAAAAAAAAAATTGATTAAGATGCTTTAATAAGAGAAGAAAAAAATCTTAAACAAGAAAATTTGCCATTGCAAGAAATAGTATACATGTACTGTATATAGGGAAATTTTTGCCCCCCCCCCCTCCATTTTCACCCTCCTCGCAAAAGGGCGTATTTAAAATGGGGCAAAGAAAACAGCAGTATCTCTTTAGCTTTACTGTGTTTGGGTGAATTTAAAAAATATTTTCAAGCATAAAAGGGTGAACCCTGTTTATAGTATCACAATGAAAACGAAAATTTGAAATCCCCAACAACATTGTAAAGATAAAAACATCAGGAACTTAATCACAAATAATATTCTTAAGGAAGCTCTAAACACTGTACACACTGAAGAGTTCTAATTTTATGGTACTTGATTGCAGTTAGAGTGATCTGTCGTTCAATATTAAACTTGAAAAAAACCCAGATATCTACTGTAAATGACATAATTTGAAATAGGTAAAAGTAATTTTTAGCATAATGTAGCATCAACATCAAGACAAAGATCTTGACAATCAAAACCGTTAATTAGATGAACTGTGAAAACTAAGTGTAATTGAAACAAATTGATTGTATTTGTGAATCTCTAGATCAAAACTTTAATTAACTGTAACATGTGTAAATAATATTTCATTTAGGAATAAAATATTAAATTGTATTTTTTTCTACTTTTGTCTAATGTAACCGAGTAAACGAATGACAGTTTTACTAACCGATTTTCACATCATTAAACAATTAACCAGTTACTGGTTGACAAACACTTATTAAAATTATATATTTTTAAATGAGCATTGCTGCTGTATTTGTTAAAACAATTATTTCTTAGGAATTAGTCAAAAGGAATAACATAATTTAAATAAAAATATTTCTCACATTAATTTGGGCGCCTCAAGGATTTGCAGATGTCCTATAGAAATCTCTATCTAGGGCTCTCACACCACTTTTTGGGACTGGGGCAGTTCAAATTGGGAAAATTTTCATCATTTTGGGGAAAATTGGGAAAACCTGGTTCTTATCGAAGCCAAATCAACTTACGAATATAGGTGGCATGCACTAATTTATACAGTTCAACTTAGAACTAGTTTGTTTCACTCTCACTTGTTGGAGATTAAGTTTCATCGATTAAGATTTAAAAAAAAAATAGTTTTGCATAAAAGAATTGGGAAATTTACACTTTGCTTTTGGGAAAAAGGTACATTTTTTGCATTGGGAATGGGGCCATTCAGTGGCCCCAATTATAGAGAATCGAGAGCCCTGCTGAGTATCTGTCATTCTTCCATCCACTTTCTTTTCTTTTCTAATAATCTTTGTTATGTTTATCCCATTAAGTTCAAATCTGGGATTTTGGTTGTAAATGCAGTAAGACTTATTTTGGTATTAAGTTTGATTTTCTGTGTCATCTGGTTTGGAGCTGGGGTGGTAGGGTAGATTCCTAATTTTATATAAGACTGAATGGCCAAAGAAAGAAAACTGCTGAAAATGTTCTCATTGTAAACTATGAAAGCTGCTATGAGTTCCCTTGGATTAATTAACTTGTCTACTATAGAATATCCAGAGCAGAATCTTTATCTGTCACCTTGAGATTAACTAACACAATTCTATCTGCTAGTAATGTTTATTTTGAAGTTAAGGTCACTCTTTGATGGTGTTTGCAGTCAATGAAGGTTTTTTTTTTTATGATGTCTGTGCTTTTATCTGGTTCTAATACACAAATTATTGAATTATGATTTTATGGGATTTTAAATAAAAATATATTAAAAAATATCAGATTTTATTGCTGCCTTATGTAAATTCAATGATACTATTAATGTTAATAGGTAATTGAATAATAACTTCATTCTGTTATTGCTAAAAAGGTTCTTATTTTATACTAAGAATATAAGGATGAGAGAGCAGTACGAATGATTATCTTGCCTGCTGCTGAAAATCCAAAGTCTTATCTTAAGATTATACAACACCTCTGTTTGCAAGTAATGGTTGTTTTGCAGTTAATGTCAGGTCTGAGTGATCTTTGCATTCGCTGAATGCTGTCATTTTATGCATTCTTTTTCCTAGTTTTAATATACATTGAATTATTGTAAGACATGATGATTTCACTGCCTTTTGTAAAAACAAGGATACATGTACTTTTAATTTCTTACTGATAATTGGATAATCTCAATTGTCATTTAGAATATATCTTAATAATAATCTATAAATTTCATAAATAAAGTTGCTGTTTCATATTCTTCATCATATATATACCGGTATATGTGGGCTGTTTGGAATTTATGGAGACATTCTGATTTTTTCCCTTTCTAATCAATGTTTTTTTGGTGAAAATTGGTATATACATTTAACAAACACCAAAAAATATATAAAAGCAAGAAATATTTAAGTATTTTAATTTTCCTTTTAAATGACCTTTTAATATGTCCATGGTATGGTGTACCTGGTGCAGTCTCAAATTCTAAATATACTATGTACTAAGTCCTGAATGACCCATAGAATGTTTGAAAATTTATAAAATTTTACATGTATATCATGTTTCAAACTTTATCTTGATTTTATTTTGTGCACGTTTGAAAGATTTTGGATTAGAAATATAAATATCATAGAGACTTTTCATTAGGCTATAGAAATCTTATTATTTTAGCAAAATGAATTTTGACATCAAGGCAGAGCAGCAGGTATGCATTTATTTTTGTGTAAAGCTGAGAAGAACAGTTCAGACAAAGGACCTTCTAAAACAAAATACAGTTGTATATAGGGCTTTAGTTTATTACTGATTTACTAGTAAACATTTTTGACATATCATTTAACCATAGTGAAAGCAAATAAACTGGATGACCATCAGTTATTAAGGATGAATTAACATGTTACATCACCTATCCTTAAGTCCTTAAGTTGGTACCAATGACTTCCACATGTAAGAGATATTATTTGAAATAAGGGTAGCAAGAACCCACAAGTTTGTAAAGATTAGGGTGGAGATGGGGGTTAAGAATGGAGAAAATTTGAGCCAATTGGGTTCTTAGAATGTTTATCAAGTGATGACAGAAAAAAGGAAGAGTTGACACTGCCCATTTGTTTTAATGTGAAAGAAAAAAATCTATTGCTGAAGTAACATTAAAATGATATGATTATCACTGTCGAGTGCTCCTGGTCAATGGACTTATGAAAGTTTAGAATTTCACCGGTACTTATCTAATGGTGCCATGAATAAGAGATTTTGCATGTTTGTATTATAGGTTCTTGATAAAAATGTGGTGATTTTTTATGAATTGATTTCTTTCTTTTCTGGAGTTAGGTGAAAGTCTCAATAATTTCCAAACAGTCCTTCTATTTTAAAATTTCCTTTTCAATGTTTTCTTTATCATGTCAAACTCTCATCCCTTAGCTGGACCCTTTATGGTTTAGATTTCTATCTCTCTGTGGGGCCTTTGCTGACTGTTAAGTCAAACTCTCATCCCTTAGCTGGACCCTTTATGGTTTAGATTTCTATCTCTCTGTGGGGCCTTACTGACTGTTCAGTTTTCTAGTCTGTACATTACCAAACTGAATGCCTGTTTTGATTTATTTGATAAAGGATGCAGGGTGAATTTCAATCCAGTTTTATACTGAAGTTAAAGGACAGATTTTTTTTCTTCGGTGTATTTGTTACCTTGCACGTTACTGGTAGGAGACATTTTTTTCTGATTTAAGAATCATGTTTGAGTGAGAGGGCAGTATTTCATATCTGCACAACAAGATGTATGATATAAAGTAAAAATTGACTGGAGGTCGTGACCCTTCAAAGATAAGATCACATGAGAGAAACTCAGTGCTCTTAAGGCAATGTCCTCTCTTGATAAACATTTCCGTCTGTAGGAAGATGAACCTTGGACCCTGTTTGGGTATTAGTTTTACAGGCAGCTGGTAGTCCCTAATATCACGTATAGGTTGACTGGTGCAATGTTTAGGCTGATGTGCATTTACTTAAAACATGCAGTACATACAAAAAGTTCATACAGTACATGTGTTTTGTGAATCATAAGTGACATAAATAAATCATAATTGTTTCAATATACATTTTTATGGTATTTTGGCCCCTGGGGATTGAAAGGGTCAGCAACAAAGAGTCAATTTTTTAATTTAGAAATACAGTTGAACTTCATTATGTCAAACACTAATATTTTGAATACATTGGATATCTTAAAGTCAATTAGAAGTCCCAACTACTTTTTCATCATGTACAGTTGAATTTTGGTATCTCGAACACGGATATCTCGAATACCAAGGATATGTCGAAGTGATGTTGAAGTCCCAAGCGCTTATAAGTATTTTACCCTGGATATCTCGAATCCTCAAATATCTCGAAGTATTTTCTTGGTCCCTTGAAGTTTGAGACAACAAGGTTTGACTCTATTTTACCGTCATTATCTCAGATACCTGAATATCTCAAAAAAAATTTCTTGGTCCCATCATTTTATTGTATAAAGAAAAAAAAATTAAGTTTTTTTTTCAACAACAGTGGGGCCACTGGAACATTGTTGAGCCGGTCTTAATGTTATCTTCATGTAGTGCAGATTCAGTTTGACCAAATTATTGAGAGTCAAAGAAAACATTTTGAAAATTTTCCTTTAAAGAAGACCAGGATCATGAATATTAATAATGATTAAAATAATCTTGGCCTTTTTATCTAGTGAAGAAAGAAATTTGTTCAAATTATGGCCACTAAGGGCTATGTTAGAGGCAAAATTTTTTGAATGGGAATATATTGGAGAGTCATTAAAATCTTATCAAGAAAGCTGGGTAACAATAAGTCATGTTGATATGCAAACATCTTCTAGTAGTGTAGATTCAGATTTGTTCAAATCATGACCCCTCAATGGGACCACAATTAAAGGTCAAATATTTAAATAATGATATTTATGAAAACATTTGAAAATGTTTCTTTTATAGAATAGCATGGCCACAATTGATAATACTAATACACACATGTATGGGAAACAAAAATTTATACAGAAAGATATTGACAATTCTCAATAAAAGTAAGGCTATAACTTGAAAATTAAACTTAATATTTAGCCCAGTATGATGTAAATGAAACTGTTGAAATCACTGACTTTAACTGGGAGACTACATAAGGGGTTCTATGATTTTAATTTGTTCATACACACTCAACTACTTAACATAAATAATTTACACCATAAAGTAACACTGTGTGTTGGTACAGAAGCAAGCTCAAGAGTGCAATTTATCATTAATATATGAAAACTCTTCTGTAAGCTGTAAAGTCTGTGTAATAATGAAATGATAATAATATAAGCATACATATTGTCAAAAATATCAAATACTGTGAGAGTGGGTGGGTGCCACATCTAAACTGCACAAAGAGAAAGCCTTTGAATGGGGTTTACTTGCTAAACTCTTGAAAAGGTGTGTAGCATATTAAAATACATGTTTAACAAGTACATAGATCTGAAATAGCAAACAAATGATATGTTTTTGGTAAAAAAAAAAAATAAAATAAACAAACACATGATCAACACATACTATAACTGTAATAAATAACTTTATCTGCATATACAAATTAATTTCTCAGGAAAAGAATGGTGACTCAGGTAAGCATTGTGGTCCATGGACCTTTTCTGTCCTTCTTGTACATGTAGTACCATCTTCCTGTTTTAAATGTGAATCACAGGTGTCGTCAATGAATCACCCTAGCCTCCTTAGAATTATGTAATGTTTATGTAACAGGGCTTTGTTAAATAAGTGTATTCTTTTTATAATCACTGTAAAAGATTGAACTTATGGTTTAAGTTAAGAATTTAGAACAAGGTTTCAAAGATTATTTAACTAAATCAACATGGAATTAATCAGATTTAAAAAAAAAAAAACAAAAAACTTCACGTATATATTGAAATAGACCTGTTCTTTAAATTTGAGGGTAAGAATTTAGAACATGTCCAAGAGAAACAAATGAAAATTATGATTCCTCATAGTAAATAATTTAGGACAAACACATGTTTTACATGATTTAAAGTGCCAAACTGACATAGAAAAATCTATATTGGTATGATATAGAACATGATATCAAAGACAAGACAAAATTAGCTGTCCTGTAGTAATTTAAACTTCAAACATGATTTTATGGATCAAGAACTAGAACATAACCTCTTAAAGAATTGCTCAATCAACTCTGTTATGTAATACATGCACGTGTACTGGCATTGCACAAGGTAAACTGAAGATATGTTATATCACAGTTACATGAGGTTTAGGAATCCAAAACGTACATATTGAAAAAAAAAAGTTTCTGTTAAACCGTACTACATGTACATGTAATTTTATTGCATTTCTCATTATTCAACCCATATCTAAGAATTGTGTAGGGAAAGATATGGTAATAAATATATAGTACATATATGATTCTTTGTGTAATCTAGCTCTGACACAAAATTGACATTAAAAATGAATCTTGAAAAATGCCTAAATAAGTATTTGTATCATCCAGAGTTAGTAAAGTTTGCTCTATAGGTATTTTACGTAGTTTATAGTTTTATACAGTCAATCCTAGTCTTTGAATTTCATTCCATCTAGATCAGTTTTGGAAAAACTTTACTATGCAGTCAAATCTTGCTATCTTGAAATCGATGGGACAGCAGGAAATATTATAAGATATCCAAGGGTTCAAATATTGAGGTTAATAATACTTTAGAAAAGTTGGTGGAGACTTCCAAATAACTTTGAGATATCCATGGTATTCGAGAAGTTGAAGTTTAAGATAACTGAAGTTTAACTGTATAATCTCTTTTGAAAAAGTTACTCTAATTGGAACATTCTGTCTTTGCAATTTTTTTTTTTAATTAGCTTTTTAAGAAAAAAACTGACCTCTACATAGCTTGAATATGATGTTTTGCTGTTAATTTGTTGAAGGATTCTGAGGAAGAAAAAGGTCCTAAGAAGAAGAAAGCACGAATTGTGGAAAGTGACAGTGAAGAAGAAGGGGGAGGGGCATCTCAAGAGGGGAGTGGTGCTCAAAGCGAGGGATCCAATAAGGGCAGTGATATGGAGGATGATTGACAGGTTATATCAGGAGTGTGGGAGGAGCTTTTATGTACATAAGTCACCGACTTAAATCAAGTTCAACTTGTGACAGACTGGAACAGTACTTTCTAACAGGATGTTGGTGAAGTCAAAGTGCAATATAAGGTCCAACTTTGTGACAGTGATGTTGTTTGCCTTGTAGAGTTATGAATTTAAACATCAGAATTCTTTTTAGTCTTATAAACAATCCAAAAATGTCCATGTACATGTACTACAGTTTATTAAAAAGTTGTTTGGATCACGAGACAATGAGAATATGTTCATAGCAAAATCCAACACAATTGTACATATACATTTACAGTATTGTGTAAATAAATTCATGTCATGCATCAAGAATAAAACCAGGATAGAAAATGATGTTGTAACACTTATCTACTCTTGTACCAAGTCTGAACTTCTAATGTCACTTGTTATCCTGTATCTGGTCCACCAATGTTAGAAGTTCAAGTGAGAATATCAATGGTACATGTAAATATAGTTGACAGCATATTTTTAAGGGGGGAGATACTTTTTATAAAAATCAGAAAAATGATGTAAATTTTCAAAAATAAAAAAAGAAGAAAATAATAATTCTAAATTAATAGATAAAAATCTGAATAAAGTGAAATGGTCTTATTGGTAATTAATTTTTAGCAAGGGGTTTTGTGAAATTTTAAGGACTATATATGCTTTCAAAGCAAGAGAGTGATTATGTAGTAAATTTATTTACATGTGTGGATTCCGTTTTATTGAAGAGTATCTTGTTTACTCATTGAGTTTCACTTCTCTCACATCAATCTGTACTGAACCCAAATACATCTCCTGATTTTCTGCATTTATGTTCAAATTTTCAGAATCATCAGAAAGGTTAATACATTGTTAAGGTAAGGAAGACATGGCCCCAGGCATGGTGATTGCATTTAAGTTAAATGTACAAGTTAAAGCTAAGTTCAGCTGCCTGTTTTACGAAAGAACTTATGAATAAGATCAAAATCTACTTTTGCAATCTATTTCATCTTTATGTTGATAAAATTGCAATTTAAGCTGAATTAAACGGATTAAGTAATTATTTTATTACCTCTTCTGAGCCAAAGGCTCAAAGAGCTTATGCTATGGCCATTTTTGTGGTGTGCGTAAACTTTTTGAAAAATGGGCCATATCTCAAGAACCCCTTAGTCAATTTTTTTTCAAATTTGTCACAGAGTATCCTTGGCCTAAGGGCTTTCATTTATACTAAACCTGAAACAAGGGGAGATAATTAGGGAAATAAAAACAAAAGTGGTTGCTGAAAATCTTCTCAAAAACCACTGGGCAGATTATCACCAAACTTGCATACAAGGATGAGGATATATTGTAGATTAAAAATAGTTCAAGGCATCACCCTGGGGCAAAGGGGGTGGTCTCAAGGTCACTTCAAAGTTGACCAAAAATTAAGTTTTGTTAAATCTTTGATTTTTTGCCTACTATAAGGCCTAGGATCATCAAATCTTGTCAGTTGATGCATCTTCAGACCTCATTTCATGTTGACTCAAAAGTAGGTCATGGTGACTTACTTTTTGAATTTTGCAGGTATTCATTTTCAGTTTAATTTTGATGCATAACTTGGATACTTAGAAGCCTATGATCATTAAAACTTGTCAGTTTATGCATCATGGGATCTTGAAGTGTGTCAACCAAAAAGTAGGTCACCATGACCTACTTTCTGAATTTTATGGCTAATAATTTTCTAAACATTAAAGGTAATTAATTCAGATACTAAGAGATTAGAGATTTAAAATCATCAAATCTTATAAGTTGATGCACCTGGGGGCCTTTTAAAAACAGATACGTCAAAAAGTAGGTTACAGACTCACAGTGACCTTCTTTTGAAATTTTACAGGTATATCATTTTCAAATTGTTGTAGAGGCATATATTGGACACTTTGAAGCATAGGATCATCAAACTTTGTCAGTTGATGGATCTTGGGTCCTCAGAGTGTGTCAACCAAAAAAAGGTCACCTTGACCTACTTTATCAATTTCATGGCTTAATTTAAATATTTCAGATACTAATAGCTAAGAATCTTCAAACTTTGTCAGTTGATGCATCTTGAGTCCTCAGTGTGTTAACCAAAAAGTAGGTCACCATAACCCACTTTTTGGAATTTGATGGCTTTATAAGTTACTAATTGGCTTAGAATCATCAAACTCTGTCAGTTGTCAGTTGATGCATCTTGAGTCCTCTGAGTGTATAACCCAAAAAGTAGGTCACTGTGACCTACTTTTGCTATTTCATGGCTTAATTTGAATATTTCAGATGCTAATTGGCTTGGAATTATCAAACTTTTTTCAGTTGATGCCTCTTGGGTACCTGGAGTGTTTCAACCAAAAAGTAGGTCACCATGAAATTTTGTTGGTTGATGAATCTTGAGTCCTCTGAGTGTATCAACCAAAAGTAGGCCATTGTGACCTACTTCTGCAACTTCATGGCTAAATTTAAATATTTCTGACACTAATTGGCTTGGAATTATCAAACTTTGTTAGCTGTTGCCATGCTGTCCTACTTTTGGAATTTCAAGGCTTTATCCTTATATATTGGTTACCAAGAGGCTTAAAACGGAAAAGATTTATAGGTTGTACAATTTTCAGAAGAGCAATTCTAGCCCTAGGGCCTCTTGTTTTCTATATAGTCTCACCAAATTATTAAGTTAGTGAGATTTAAAAGCTATGTAACATTTTAAGAATTTCTCTCAAGATCTTTTGTTAAAAAAAAGAAAAAAAAAAAGAACCAATTTTGTTGCCAAACTCATATACATGTACAAGTTGCACATACTATATAAAGCACATTATGCCATGATATGTTTCTAATGCATTTTTTTCTTATTACAATCTAAAACATAAGCCATATGCAGGGCAAATTAAAAAATTTTATTCATTCTTCTGAAAGCACCTTTGGAAAATTTGAAGATTATTTTAAGGATAATGTACACACACTGTTTTAAAATAAAAAGCTTATACATGTATAAAATTTTATGTACATGTAGTTTCTTAGTAAATAGCACATTTTAGCACAATCACACCCTTAGCAAGCAAACAAATGCCAAAGATGGAATCAAAGCCTCCTCTCTCCCAATTTTATTTTTTATTTTAAAAGAAGCAAAATTGTATTTTCTGAGCTTTATCCAAGAATAAAAATTATCACATTGTAGAAGTATAATAATTTAAATATACTTGTAATGAAATTTTTTCTCACAGTGGCTTGGATTTAGTGAAACCAATGCCCAAAACATAAAATTAAATATATGTGTTTTTACTGACCCATACTTGATAATAAAAATGTGATTTTGTACAAATAAAGTTTATCTAAATACTGATGCACTAAGTACTGCTTGCACTTAAAATCTGGTGATGAGAAAAGGGGTGGGGGTGCCACCCCCATTTTACATGCACCACTGATATGTATAACAAAATGTGCGGAACTTTGCAAAGTTCCCAAACTTTTAATACTTCTAATAGTATCATTATTAAATATATTTTATAACAATATCCTCAGTGTAAGTTTTGTTTTTTTTCTTTCTGGATCTCTGATTGCAATGAAAATGGGGAAAAAAATGACAAATCAATATAAATTCTGTACCTCCTCCTATAAATGTTTGATTTAGATCTAATACCCTAGAGGATTCATAACCCTTTCTTACTATGGTAAACAACTTTTAGAGAAAAATCCTGCTATAGAATTTAAAAATGAAAAAAAAAAAAAAATAATAATATGTTCACAAATAAGTTACAAGAAAAAAAGATTAAGAGTAGATTTTTGTTTAAGTCATAATTCCTTCTGCAAATAGACCTCTGTTCTGTCCATTTTTTTTTTTTTTTGGCTGTTGTTTTGTTATTGAAATGCCCAATAAAAACATGGGAATTAAGTCTATCTCAATGCCTAGCATTGCCTACTCTAGTACAATTTTTAGGAAAGTCGTGGGTAAAGTATAAACATTGAGAAAGGTTAAAGAAAGGTTAGAGGTTAAAAAACATATTTAAAAAATAGACTGTGAGACAAATTGGACTAGTGAAAAATAATAATTAAATAAGTTCTCTCGATATAGTGACATTGCTGCAGTAATGGGGATACAAACACCGATAATCTTGTACAATTAACACAATTTTGCACATTTTCCAAGTGTAAAACTTTGCTGAAGCAAGTAACAGACAGTATCACTAATTTTTACTTCAAGATAAGTGTTTAATTCAATATATATCTTATAGCAGTTTCATTGGATATTAATCATAAAAAAGAAAAACAGAAGTCAACAAAAATATACCTTTCCATAAACTATAATTAACTAAACTCTAAAAAAAAAAAAATTACAAATACCCGTATTTCACATTTAAGACTTTTGGAATACATTTCAAACCACAATGACATACAGTTTCATAAATCTGTGAATGTGGTTTCAATGCATTGATAGATAACATCTATTCTGTTTGCCATTTGTGCGGGGGCATGGAAGCATTGTCTTGTGATGTAGCAGATGGCTACCCCAGCAGCACGCGGCGTAGTTTTGCGTTGGCCACTTCCTCTTCGTCTGTTTCGGTGTCACTGCTGCTGTGGTACACAGCTGGTATTGTCCTACACTGAGGGGAACACAGATACTGCAACAAGGGGAGGCGATATTTCCCACAGAAGTCTACAAACTTCACATGCTCAATCCTTGATGTAAAATACACACCTGTAGAAAAAAAAGAAACCTTCAATGACTAAATAGGTGACATAAGGTGTACTGAAATAGATGACATTAGATGTACTGTAAATTTTGTAAAATTTGTAGAAATAATGATTAATAAGTAGGTAGTTAGGTTCCAGTGTTCCACAAAAATATTTCTATTTGTTGTAAAATGGCTGTAGACTAGAATTTTAAGACATTTACTATGTTTACTGACAAAGCAAATTAGGATAACATTCTATGCATTAACCTGGCACAGGTTCAATAAAGGTAAGCTGCATTTTATCCAAGATTGATTTACTGGACATGTTCTGGTTCTGATATTGTATAATATATATTTATGGCTACTTGTGTTTATTTTTAGAGCAGTATTCACATCTGTTATGCTTTAATTGATTCATTATTTACCTTTACATTTGGGGTTCACACATCTCTGAGCAGATGCCAGATATTTTCGTAGATTACTAGGGAGATCGTTTTTGGTATACTTGACTTTTTCTATTTTAATCACTCTTCCTGATAGCTCTAGTAGAGTGGGTGGTTCGTAAGTCATGTCTTGTACAAATTTGTTCACAAGAGGATTATTCCTGAGACTGAGTTCCGAGAGATTAAGTCTCACAATCTCAGGAGGGAGGGTAGAGATTTGGTTATTGTGGAGACTTAGCGACTGTAATTTTCGGAGCTGGATCAGTGTTGGTGGAATGCTTTGAATTTGATTGTCACACAGTATTAAACAGGAGAGATTATAAAGCTGTCCTATTTCTGCTGGGACCTCTGTTAGTCGATTTCCACCGAGGTACAATACCTCTAGTCTGAAAAGAAAGAAAAAGTGAAAATCACAGTTACATGTAAATGTAGGAAAAAATGGTAAAATACAATTAATTTTAAAGCCACATCTAATTTCAGATGAAAGTAATATCATTACCATTGTTTAAAGGCGACTTTAAGGAGACAAAAATGTGCTAAATTGCTTCATTAAAAAAAACAAACAAACCTTGAAACAAATGTTTATTTGCGTAGTAATGCTAATGATAAATTGTTTTTGTAAGCACTTTATCATTTCTTAGTGCACTAAAAGGTGAAATCTGATTTTAAATAAAAACAGGATCTACTGTGAAACACTGACAGTTGTCATCATGCTAACTGCCTCAGGCAATCATAACAGATTAGTAAAAAACAAAACAGTACTTTGTACCTCTGCAAGTTTTTGATAGAATTTGGCATTTCTGATATACAATTCCCACCCAGGTAAAGACGTCGTAGATTTGATAGTTCTGTACACTGGGGAGGAAAGGTTTCAAGTGAATTTCCACTAAAGTTTAACACCTCCAAAGATGACAGCAGTCCAAAGTCCTTAGGAATAGATGCACAGGATAATCCATTGCTTTTGACTAGAAGTTTCCTTAAACACCTTAGACTTATCAACTCTTTAGGTATATGAGTTAGGTGGTTATTGCTGAGATCAAGAGAGAGCAAGTTCACAAACACAGATATAGACGGTGGGAGCAATAAAATCTCATTGTGGTTCATTTTGAGGGAGAGGATCTCTTTGGCACGGGGGATCAAGTTATCTGGGATCGTAGAGAGGTTGCTGTAGCTGGAATCCTCAGAATTCCGGCTATTTGATTCACTGTCGGAGGAAGCATCACTTAAATAATCTGCCATGGTCTTTAACAGCTGATCACACGATGTGTAAAATCAAACAACCGCAGGAATCCAGCTCACTGAGCATTACAGTGCAGACTATGCAACTACTTCCAGTTAAATTTCCGTCAAAATATTTAGCACCATTGTTTCACTACATGGACGTGATGAACAGTAATAAAAGCCCATGCCAGGGGGAGTGATCGTTTGTTTACTACTTGACCCCTTTCATAAGCATGTAGTGCCCGATCTCTGATTGGTTAAACCTCTGGGAACCAATTTATGATGAGCAGGCCAATCGGCAATCCTCGGCTGACTCCGCTACGCTCCACACAAACGGTTAGTGTGCGAGGTACGAGCCACACGAGGAGCTCCGAGTGTGATCAGGCACTTTGGTCGTGATGGATTGTGTATTCCGTAATGTTCTATATCATACCCCAAGATTTCTCAAGAAGTTTTGATAGGAAACCCAAGTAGTCAAATAATTCAATTACGCTGCAACCTGTCATGTGGCAAAGAGTAGGTTTTTTAAACTCTATCCAGAGTTGTGTATTAGGGACGACAACTCTGGGTAAAAATCGCTTCTTTTGACTTTTAGGCCTAGATACCTCCGTCCCCTTTAACATGGTTAAAAAATATTTGCGGACGAAAATGGCCCAGTAGTTATTGATGGTATATACATACATGTAAATGTTTGCATTCTTTTTAAGATTTGGATTGAAATATATGTTTATGCATGATTTAAAAAATATCTTTGAATAAATGTTTAGATTTTTTTCATTTTTATATTTTCTTACAAGTGAAGAAAATTCTTAAACGGTGAAAAAAATTCAGTTAATTTATCTAGCAATCTTGCGCTCCTCCCCTAACTGCAGTTGGTTTGTGCATGTGTGTGTGTGTGTGTTCCCCCTTTTTTTTTGTATGGAATCTAAAGATAGTTTTTTTTTGTCGTTTTTAGGTTGGACGCCGCAGTTAACATGAAAAAAACAAAAACAAAAAAAAAACGAAACAAACTTGGGCTGGTCTTCTCCCGAGGAAGTGTCATTATATAGCTAGTCTTCTGGGGGGGGGGGGGTGTCTCACTACATAGCCAGTCTTCCCTCTTCATAGCGAGATCGACCCCCCTCCCCCCTAAATATAGTTTCCGGATTTTTTTTTTATTCTGACGTTTTCAATGTTTGAATAAAAATTCTCCGTCGTAGGATTTAATAATTAAAACATCTTAATAGCGTTTTAACAGTTTGTTAGCCGTAAATAATTTTGGGATTTTAGTATATTTATCATTGGGGGGGGGGGGGGGTAAAAGTATTTTCTGAAAACAACGGCCTTATATGTGCATTCATGCAGTGTATATAAACGTTGAACTTGTCCTTTCCATCTTAGATTATAGCTTAATACAAAAATTAAAAAAAAGAAAGAAATATACAATGATTATAATGAAACTAAAAACATTATAAGAAAAAGATATAACTGAATTAAATTATATTTATTTCTTTGCGTTTTGTATTATTTTCTGTATCTACATTTAGGGTTAGGATGTTTATGAAACTAAAAGCAATTTGTAACCATCCTATCACGTTTTCATCTTATTTTTTCCACAAAAATAGTTCGTGAAATATTTATTTATCGGTGGAGTGAAACGAAGGAGAAAATAATGGAACTGAGGTATAGCACTCTAATAATTTTTAATTTACGTATATATGATAACATTCGTAGTAGGCAATATCTTATAAGATATACACTAGTATAGTAGAACAAAATGCACCTGCTCTCAAATCCTTTCTTTACGTAAAAGATGTTAAAAAAAATTATGACCAGAGTCTTATTTTTGAGGACATTCATGTCTCTCTGCTGCATGAAATATTATATATTATATAGCTTGCATGTATATATTGTATAATACCTGCAAATATGGTTCTTAATAACTTGACATTTATTGTATGGATTTTGAATAATGAAAATAAAGAAATTTTATGCTTACTTGGAAAATTTATTTCTGAAAATGGTAAAAGAACCAATGTATAAATACATCTGTCATCATGTACATGCATGCCTTTTCTCCAATTTTACTTTATTGTATTTTTTCTCTGAAATATATTACAATTTTAAAGGGAAAAAACCCATACAAATGTATAAATACATGTATGAACATGTTGTAGCATAACATATTTGTATTGTCTTGGGATCAGTGACAATAATTTGGACACTTGACACTGGTATTGTCTATGATTATTAACGCTGAATACAATGTTATATAACTGTTTATGTAACTGTTTATATATATTTTTTTATATAAAAACAATGTATATTGTGAATAATGTTTAAATTGTGCATTTATATATGTGGAAATGCCTCTCGGGGCCCTTGATTGGTAAATAAAATATCTTGTATCTTGTACATTATTCTTTGATTTTTTTTATTTAAATATAGAACACCTTATAAATGTGAACTAGAAAAAAAATCTGAAGAAAAAAAATCCTTGGACCAAGGGTGTATAATTGGGGAGGGGGGTGTTGGTGTCCTGTCCGCAAGCACCGGTTATCTATGCTACTAAGATCTCCAACAATTTATAATATGTTTTCTCATATTAAAGTTAGCATAATAAATCAATTGTTGGCGTAATAAAACAACAAACTCAGAATCTTCATTTGACATTATCCATATAAACACGTCAACATTACTATATATCGGCAAAATTATTGCCCCTCCAACCGGGGTTGAGCACCGGTTCTTACGGCCATGGTGCATGTGAATGACGACCCCAAAAACAAGCCCACTCGTTTGATTTTGAAAATAAATATTCTCTCCTCAAAAATTTTCCCTTTGGAGTTTCGGCAGTCAGCTTGACTGGTGCTACCCCCATCTCTCTCCCTTTCGCTCTCTCACACAGTTTGAAGTTTAGTTGTTCCCCCCCCTTTTTTTTATTGATTTTCATACTTTTTCCAGTGAAAAACAATATGTGTTTGTGAAACACTGATGCCCCGTTTGGTAACTTATAGCAAAGGTTAAACTTTATCAAATGCAAATCAAATATGTTGGTACCCAAAGTAAGGTCTTGTCTCGATGAATAAACCTGTGAAATATGAAAGCCCTAGCAGCACCCATTGAATAGATATGGAAAAGGTTAAAGTTTTTTTTCAAAAGTATGTCAAACATCAAGGTCAAGGTTAATTTTAATGGTGCCCAAGGAAAGGCCTTCTCTCAAGAAATACACAGGTAAAATATGAAAGCCCAAGCACCAATAGTTCAAAAATTATGACCAAGGTTAAAATTTTCCAAAAGTAGGTCAAACTCAAAGGTCAAGGTCAAAGGTTCAAAGTTGTTGGAATCCAAAGAAAGGTCTTGTCACAAGGATTACAAATATGAAGTATGAAAGCCCTAGCACCAACCATTCAAAAGTTATGGCCAAGGTTAAAGTTTTTCAAAAGTAGGTCAAACTCCTAGGTCAAGGTCAAAAGGTCAAAGTTGTTGGTATCCAAAGGAAGGTCTTGTCACAAGGATTACACATGTTAAGTATGAAAGCCCTAAAACCAATTGTTCAAAAGTTAAGGCCAAGGTTAAAGTTTGAGAAAGTTTTGCAAAACTGGGTCAAACTCCAAGGTCAAGGTCAAATATGGTTGTACCCAAAGAAAGGCCTTGTCACAAGGAATACACAGGTGAAATGTGAAAGCCATAGCTCCAACCAATCAAAAGTTATGGGCAAGGTACGTTAAAGTTTTTGCGGACAAACAGACAGACGTACGGACAGGGCAAAAACTATATACCCCCGAATCTTCGATACTGGGGCATAAAAATGTCCTTGATCATGTTGGAAATAAATGTTTTGTCCTGTTAAGACTCGACACTCCCAGCCCCTTTGTAGAACGTTTCCGATTCGTTCGAATAATTTAAGGGACAACTTATCTAAATGTGAAAAAGGTGTGAAAATGTCCAATAGTAAACAAAACGAAGACGAAAAGTCGCAAAAGGCAGAATCTGAGGTTGACAAAGAGCTTGATGACCTACTAGAAAGTTTGTATAATATTTTTCAAGTCTTTGTTTGTCTCATTAGGGTAGCTTAGGGTAGCACCGTGTCTGTTGTTGGGATTAAAGATTCACAGACTAAGGAAATTCAGGTTACAGTGTCTACACGTCCTAGTTTTTCCGTTTATCTATTGATAACATAATAGTATGTACTGTTTGAACACGTTGAAGCTATCTCTAGAAAACAGGTTCTACAAAGTAAACTATAAAACTTGGTGTGTGATATGTCAATATTTTATGGGTGTAAAGATTAACAAGAGTACATTGCAGGAATTACACAAATAACCATGGTCATGGTTAGCTAGTCATGGTTATCCAAGCCACATCTTTCTCCTCACAAACATTAAAATATGAGTAAATTATGGTTGGCACATAAGGTTCTTATCAGCTCATGCTATTTGTTTCCAGAGACAAAAAAGAACAGAAAGTAGCTACTGTCATTTGCACTTATTATGATGGACACATTGTATGCTATATTTAATACAAAATAGTGGAACAACTTTACTGGTCCCTAGAAAAACGCACTAAAAATAGTGTCACCAAGGGCGACTTCAATATATATGAGATCGCGTGAGCAATTGAAAAAATAAAAATTACTAGGTTTTTGGCCTTTTTGACTGCAAAGTTGAATTAATAAAAATACAGATGCAACTGAATTTCTTAATTAATAAAAAAGAACGAGTCACTAACCCTAATCTCTGGGATGGTATGCGAGGACTAACCCAAATCTCCAGGGCAGATGCTAAACTAACCGTAATCAGTGAAATAATGTGCAAGAACCAACCCTAATCTCTTGGATGGATGTGAAACTAACTCTAATCAGTTGAATACTTGTGCAAGAACTCACAATCCCTAATCTCTCAGGTGGGTGCAAGACTAACCCTAACGAGTTGAGTAGTGTGCAAGAATAACCCTTATCAGTTGAGTGACGTAAATCCGTCATAGTGCAATGAGCGCGCGGATCTTGCAGATCTGGGGACCAGTAGGGCTGTGTCAATATATCAAATATTCAATACATATTGATTTTCAGGAACGTATCGTATCGAAAAAATAACTTGCAATACGTATCGAACAGGCCGTTTTCCTTATAATTCTGTAAAAAGGCTGGGAATTTCAGTCACCAAAGATTATTTTTAACTGTTTTGAAATATAAATGAACAAAAATGAAATAAACATTAAGGAGATAGCACATCTTAAATAACTATTACAAAAATACATAGACAACTATATTTTAATATGTTATGTTAGACTCACCCAGTATTTATCAAATTTATGCATTAAATGTCATTTACAAGACATTTGTGAAAGACTTAATAAATAATCCAATATATCGCATATCGCTTAAAAAAATATCGTATCGTATCGAAATATTTTGCTCAATACACAGCCCTAGGGACCAGTAAAGTATTTGTTTTGAATACTGGTATCAATATCAAATTAGTTAATTCCAAAATGTTTAGATATACCTCCAAGAAGGATGCTGGTTATTCTCTATGTAGTCAGAGTTGGTTTAAAATGTAATGTTATGATATATTTTAGCTTCCATCATATTGTAATAGTTTGGACTGCGGATATCAGCCTGGATAGCTCAGTTGGTAGAGCACCTGACTAGTGATGCAGGGGTCCCAGGTTTGATTCCTAGTCCAGCCTTTCCTATTACACAATTTAGTGCCATTGACCACATCTGGACTTGCAGGTGAAAGTCCTGCCAGGGGCAAAGAGAACTTGGGTTGTTTCTTCAAGGGCAAAGTCAATTAAAGGAGGGGGCATGTAATGGTTTGAGTTTTGGATATTGGTCTGGATAGCTCAGTTGGTAGAGCACCTGGCTAGTGATGAAGGGGTCCAGGGTTTGATTTCCAGTCTAGCCATACATTTTCTCCTTTCCTGTTATAATAATTTTTTTTGAGTGGTTTCAAAGAGGGGGGGATAGATTGGATACCCAGTGTCTGTCTTTTTAAACAATCACTGCTTTAGCTCATATACTGATTATGCCTACATTTGGTACACAAGGAGATCCATGCCTATTCTCTGGTTTAAAGTTATATATGGTAAGCTTTCTTTAATGTTTTATTGTAATTTCAGGTGCCTTAAAAGACTTTGATAAACCACAGGGTGCTGAGTCCTCACCACATAAAAATGTCAAGGTCAGTTTTTCCCATGATTCCATGTTTAAAGAATTATTAAATTAATCATAAGTAGTGTTTATTTAGAACAAGATACAGGTAATTCATTAGACATGTTGTTTCTGATTTTAATTTCAGTGAAATTCATTAAAATAAATAGAATCTTAGAGAAGTTTCAGTTCTTTTTTGAAAGTAGGAGAATGATACACATACATTTTATAAAGATTATGCACTTTTTAACTCACCTGAGCCAAAGGCTCAAGTGAGCTTTTCTGATAAAAATGTGTCCGTTGTTGTTGGCATCGGCTCCTTAATTTTTTTTATTTTCATCTTCTTCTCCAGAACCACTGGGTCAATTTCAACCAAACTTGGCACAGAGTATTCTTGGGTTAAGGGAATTTAAGATCGCTCAAATGAAGGGCCACACTCTCTTCCAAGGGGATATAATAAAGAAAAAATCTTCTGAAGAATCCAGGGCCAGAAAAGATGAAACATGTGAAAGCTTTTAAAATTGGGTGGGGTCATTTAAAAAATCTTCTGAAGAACTCCAGGGCCAGAAAATATGAAACATATGTGAAAGCTTTCTGACATAGTGTAGATCCAGATTTGTTCAAATCTTGACCCCAGGGGGTAAGGTTGGACCACTATGGGCGATCAAATTTTTACATCCATGGGTATATTTAAGAAAAAATCTTCCAAAATCCTCTTCTCGAGAACAGCAATGGCGTGATCAGTAGTATTTATAAAGAAGCATCCTGAGGTAGTGTAGATTCAAATTTGTTCAAATCATAATCCCAGGGGGTAGTGTGGGGCTATAGTGTGAAATCAAAGTTTTACATAGGAGTACATTGGAAAAACCTTTAAAAATCTTCCTTCTCAAGAACCACTGGGCCAGAAAAAGATGAAACTTATGTGAAAACTTTCTGACATAGTGTCGATTCAATTTTGTTCAAATCATGACCCCAGAGGGTAGGATAGGGCCACTATGGGCGATCAGAGTTTTACATCCATGGATATAAATATTAGGAAAAATCTTTAAAAATCCTCTTTACAAGAACAGCAAAGCCATGATCAGTCATATTTATTTGGAAGCATTCTGAAGTAGTTTAGATTCAAATTTGTTCAAATCATAATCCCAGGGGGTAGGGTGGGGCTACAATGGACAATCAAAGTTTTACATAAGATCTAGAATTCATATGAAAAATCCTTAAAAATTTCTTTCAAGAACAGCAAAACTGTGATCAGTCATATTTAAACGGAAGCACACATAGGTAGTATGTATTCAAGTTTGTTCAAATCATGACCCCCAGGGGGCAGGGTGGGGCTACAATGACAATCTTATAGTTTTACATAGGAAAACATACAAAAACATGCAAAAACATAGGAAAAATCTTGTTCTCAAGAACAGCAAAGACATGTTCATTCATATTTACATGGATTCATCCACAAGTAGTGTATTTTCAAGTTTGTTCAAATCATAGGTAGAATAGGGTCACATTGGGTATCAAGGATTTACATAGGAATACATAGAAAATTCTTTTAAAAATCCTCTTTTCAAGAACAGGAGAGCCATGGTTAGGCAAATTTATATGGAAGCATCCTCAGGTAATGTAGATTTAAGTTTGTTCAAATCATGATCCCCAGGGGTAAAATGGGGCTTCAGTGGGTGATCAAAGATATACATAGGAATATATAGGAAAGATTCTGCTGGTGAAAAACAAGAATGACCGTAGTTACTTAGGTGAGCGTTGTGGCCCATGGGCCTCTTGTTAATTTCTTCATTAGCATGTGCCCCCAGGAGGCAAGAAAGAAGATCCATTGTCAGAGATGTTTGCTGAGGAGTTCTCTGATGAAATGAGCAAGCAGTTTCAGGAGACCATGAAAGGTCTGATGGGAAATGACCCTCGACTCATGGAGCAGATAGAAAAACTGGCAGAGGCAGCAGGACAGTCTGGTAATCGTTTTATTTTGACCCAGCATGAATTTGATTAGTTTGAATTAGTATTAGACACACATGAAGAGGAAACTATGTAGATATTTCTTGTCAACTGCAGTTCAACTCTGGTATCTCGAAAACCAATATCTTGAATACTATGAACAATTGGAAGTGAGTTTGAAGTCTCAACCTCTTGTTCCATACTCAATATCTCCGAAATCCGAATCCTTGGTGATCTGGAAGTTTGAGATAACGAGTTTTGAGGTTTGAATAAGAGTATCATAATGATGTCACACTTATTTTAGGAAAATTTGATACAAATTTTTAAACAGACCAGTGAAAGAAAAAAAAGCATGATGTATCAGTTATTAAGATACAATTACTATTTTCATGGATGGTTTTATTTCTTAAGATATAATGTTTTATATGAAATAATTTGAACAAATTAAGGATGATAATTCAGGTTCTATGGTATATGAACCTTTTATTTCGTATAATGCACTGAAAAATGTAGAATGAAATACTTTATCATATAGAGTTTATCCCTGATAACTTTGTCATATAACAATACAAATAGAAGCTTGTTTAAAGTGGTTAAAATGATTAATTTTATTTTCAGATGAGTCACAAGGGTCTCAAGAACACTTTGCCAAAACCCTGGCCAGCACAATAGAAAGTATGACCGAAAATCTAGACGGGGCACAGGTGATCATATATTTATTTTACTCAATTATGCTAAATTGTATTGAACTTAGAGGAAAACTAAACAGTTTTTGTAAAAAAATTATTTGATACTCACAGAATGATTTCACATTAAAAAAAAAAAAGTCTCAAGGTTTAGACTGATTATTGTTTAACAGGGTGACATGAGTGATGAGGATCTACTGAAGGCCTTTACCAGTATGGGGATGGAAGAGGAGGGAGAAGGATTCATGCCGATGATGCAGGGCATGATGAAGACACTGTTATCTAAGGAGGTTCTGTATCCCTCCCTAAAGGAACTCTCACAAAAGGTAGGTTGTCAATGTGAAATAATGCAGGGCATGATGAAGACCCTGTTATCTAAGGAGGTCCTGTATCCCTCCCTAAAGGAACTCTCACAAAAGGTAGGTTGTTGCAGGGTATGATGAAGACCCTGTTATCTAAGGAGGTCCTGTATCCCTCCCTAAAGGAACTCTCACAAAAGGTAGGTTGTCAGTGTGAAATAATGCAGGGCTTGATGAAGACCCTGTTATCTAAGGAGGTCCTGTATCCCTCCCTAAAGGAACTCTCACAAAAGGTAGGTTGTATGTGTGAAATAATGCAGGGCATGATGAAGACCCTGTTATCTAAGGAGGTCCTGTATCCCTCCCTAAAGGAACTCTCACAAAAGGTAGGTTGACAATGTGAAATAATGCAGGGCTTGATGAAGACCCTGTTATCTAAGGAGGTCCTGTGTCCTTCCCTAAAGGAACTCTCACAAAAGGTAGGTTGAGAATGTGAAATAATGCAGGGCATGATGAAGACCCTGTTATCTAAGGAGGTCCTGTATCCCTCCCTAAAGGAACTCTCACAAAAGGTAGGTTGTTATTATTTATGCTGTGTGTATTCTGTGAGTAGAAGGGATTTTACATTTCAAATTGGCATCATGGCCCACTTTAATACAGTGTGTTTTTAACTTTTTAAAAATATATACATGTACATATAAAGAGCAATTAAACATTTGGCTCCAAATGCTTGAACTCAAATAATATTTAAAAATATCAACAACATAACCTTTCCCCTGTATTAATTATGTTCCTCACTGATTTGATTATTGCTTTAATTGTAGTAAATTTCACCTGTATTCAGAGATTTCTGCAAATTTTTGGTTGTACACTTGTATATTTTTACAATTAAATTCATGCTTATGAGTCAAAATAATTGAACTTAAGCAATTAAGGAGGGGTGTTTTCCTCTTATTGCATTGTTTGAAAACTCTACTCCTAAATAACATGGAAATTAATTAATTTTCTCAGTATCCAAAATGGATTGAGGAGAACAAAGATAAGGTGGAAACCCAGCAGATGATTAAATATCGGGAACACGACAGGATTGTACGGGAAATCTGTGTGGAGTTTGAAGCTGAACACATGTCAGACACAGAAGATGTCAAAAAACTACGATTTGAAAGAATTGTGGACTTAATGCAACAGGTCAGACAGAGTTATTCATCTTTGTTATATTTACATTTGCCAATGTGACATGAAGTCCGTCATGTGATCAGACTTTCTTGCATATGGAAAGCAAACCACACAAGACATTTGGAATGTCTAGACTGTGATGTCACATAATGTCCTTCATGTATATAATGTTGCATTTCCATAACAGAGTCTAAGGCCATCTTAAAAAAAAAAAATGTTTACTTTCCCTCTCCCGACTAAGGAAAAAATAAGGGTAGGTAGGTAGGAAATTTTTTTTACTTAAAAACACTTGCTAATATGAAGTTAAAATAGTTAACAATGAGATGAGAAAACTTTGGAATGAATTAAAAAATAATTGTTTCCTGGAGGTTTAAAAAAGTTTTGAGTGGGCCATATTTAGTCAGTCTGTCGAGAGAGGGCCACCAAGCAATTTTTTAAAGATGGCCTAAATAATGCATTTTTTCCTTTTGTAACACATATAAAAATGTAAATATAAATAAAAGAAATAAAATATCATTTTTAGAGGTTCATTGGGATATGACGTGAAGTTGGTATGTGATCAGATTTATGTCATACATGTATATCCCAATGAAACTCTATAAATGATATTTTTCTTAATTGAATTACAGATATACACTTTCCAAATTACTAATATTGATATTTGTATCATAAATTGCAGAACAATCAGTATTATTTAATTTTATTTAGATGCAAAATATGGGACAGCCTCCAAAAGAAATTGTGGGTGACATGGTAGGCTTTACTATTTATTGTCAAAAATGCAAATCTGTCAGAATATTAGGAAAAATGTGAAAAGCCTGTGTGTGAATGTTTTTTAGTATCCTCAAGATAATATTTATGAAATCAAATAATACTCTGCATTTTGAATTCATTTTGCTATCCTCAGTTTTTCTATGTCAGATGTATTCTTGTTTATTTATAGGCACCAGGTTTAGAGTTTGATGAGAATGGAATACCGAAAATGCCTAATGGATGTCCAATGATGTAACTGTGAAGATTCCTAATAAATGTATGATGATGTGAAAATGCCTGGAGAAATGTCCCAATGATGTAACTGTGATAATGTCAGTACAATATTGCATAACCAGAGTTTGTGATTTCCTGTAATTAAGAGTATCACTTTGTATGTCTTGGAGTGTGTTCGATGTGATATTTTGTATAACTGTTTCCAGAGGGTGACCATTTTAGCCGAGTGCAATAAGTTTGAATGATATCAGTATGAGAGTAAGAAAATTCTTTCATTTATAAAATATTTTAAAAGATTGTGTGGAACAAGAGTAAATTTTACTTGAGATGATACTTTTTTTGATTATTTGTTCTGTTTCACGCTTGTCTATAATGTATTTTTTTAAAGCTCAGCCGAGTCAATGGTCGCTGCAGAGAGCTACAGATCGAAGCATTGTAAAAACCTTCAATTGACGCCGCCGCTTTTTTGTTGCTCGCTTCGGATATTATTTCTTGTGTTTTATGTTGTCCCCTGCTTTAAGAATGGTATCTGATAATTAACCATATATTTTACTCTTATTCTTGACACTTTATATACCTTTCAATGGTCCAGAACAGCCCTTGATGGTTTTGGAATGTCGGTTTAAAAATTCCCATTCCAACGTCCTTGTTGGGGGTCGTGTGAAAATGAGTCTTGCGAAGAACATACACTTGCCGAGAAAATGTAAATTAAAAATTCAGGAGGTTCAAATATCATGTATATTGTCTATAAAGAATACAATATGTATGTAAAAAAAAAAGAAATATATAAATAAAACTTGGGCGTGTTAATTCAGGATGATAACCAACAAGGACGTCGGAATGCATTTTTCAAACTGATACTCCAAAACTACATACACCCGTTTGGAACCGTTGAAAGGTAAATAAAGTGTCAGGAATAGGAGTAAAATTTATGGTTAATTATCAGACACCATTTTAAATGGGGGAAGCATAAAATACAAGAAGCAATACCCAGAGCAAGTGACAAAAAAGAAGCTGTGTAAATTGAAGGTTTTTACAACGCTTAGATCTGTAGCTCTCTGCTTTATCATGTTTTGTTGTGGCACTAGAGTGGGGAACAATAAAGTAGGTTATAGATTGTCATACTTTGACATGGAATATCTCAAGAACAGAAGGGCTACAATTAGTTCATTAATATACAGACATCCCATTTAGCGAAGATTCCTGTTTATTCATATTATGACTCCATGGGCTCTGGTAGCATCATAATTATTATAGATTAATGTATTATTAAACATACAGTTAACTGTAGTCCTTCCACCTTTGTTAATAGTTTGTGTGATGGTAAGATAGCATTCCAATATGTCCTGCAATCTCAGCTCTGTTCGTCTCTCTGTAAACAAGCTTTAAAATATTTCTCCGACGACAGTTTTGTTCCAATTTCATTAAAACTTGGTACACTAGCAGATTATAATAAAATGTCTTTAGTTTGCTCATGTGGTTCCGCAATGAACTGGATGGTGATAAAGTGGAATGGAGCAATGAAAAATTGATATATAAACAATGGCCTACAAATAAGTACGAAGTAATACCCAATGGTTGGTTATATTTCCAACGAGGTCATTAAATTGACCAAAGAAATTGCAAAATGCTGACTTTAAATGGTCCTTCAACATCAACTTATTTGTCAGTACTCTGCTCTGGTTTAAATAAATGACCGTACTCGAAGCACGCTCTTGCCTACAGATTCAGCTGAGAGACATAAACACCATAAGCAGGTGATCGTGGAATGTTTCTAGGTAGATTAGGAAAGTTGACGATGGAAAAACTGAAGTTGTTCCATTTGTTATATATATTAGTTGTTAGTTGGTCAAAAACGTTTATAGACAGTAAAACAGATGGCAGACTTCGTGTCTTTTATTTCGAGTTCACTGGGATATATGGAGTGGACATACGAATAAAATAACTTTTGTTAGATGTCCAACCTCCCCTTCAAATCAACTTTAGAATACTTATAAGTAGATGCAGAATATTTAATTTTTAACAAAGTAATTTTGTAGGTGACCAATCACAAGATTAAAAAATTTCAAGTTCTATTTTTATTGAAGAAGCTTTTGTATATGAAGCACGAAAAAGCACGGTCTTCAGTTTTTGAAATGATTATGTCAAGTGTATTAAAGTCTATATTTTGTTATTATAATTTGGGTTAATATTGTAATTTCAAATTTTCTAAATGTTCTTATTTTGAGAATCCATATTTAATTCACACCATTTCTTGAATAATTTGTAGCATAGTTCTTTTGAAGTTTCTCCTTCATAGCAATTAAAATTCTAGCGCAATAATGTAGCCCTCTTTTTTTCTCTTAAGAAAACATTAAATTTAAAATATCGGAGAGGGCTACATTATTGCAGCTATCAATATTCTCCTGAGGAGTAAAGAGCATACAATGTATCCTTGTTTGTAAACATTTTTATGAATTTTTGGAAACCACTATAGGTACTGTAAATCAAATTCACTTTCATTGGCTGGAATGTTAAACGTACAAATGTTTTAAAACTGGAAGGTTACTTTGAAGAATTTCTTCTTTTTTTTTTATTGAAAGGGACATGTGAGTATAATGTAGATTACCAGATGTGGAATTAGAAGCTGATTCCTCAAAGATTACGTTGTAATAATGAAAATTACAAATACTATATTGTTAGAAGCTTTCATAGCTGGAACTAAATATATATTGTTCATGTAGCCTTATTTTTTCACTTCCAGCTTACTGAAGAAAGAATAGATGGTACTTGTTTTACCTTTTAATTTTCTGATGCTGTTCTTTAATATGTTTCTAAATCTCTTTTTTCATTCTGACAAAGTTTCGAAGTCTTCCCCTTCATAAAGAGTCTATCGTGAGGCATATTACTCGAGGGAGTTCATAAAAGAAGGGAAGCTCTGTCGCTATTTAAAGATTGGGTCTACTTGAATTAGTTAAGTGCCTAGAGGAACGATTTTTTCAGAGTTACCAAAAATAAAAAAATTCTGTTAAATTCTTCAATATGCTACTTCCCCTTTTTTTGTTCCGATCTCATTAAAACTTTACTCAAAAGAAGACTTCACTATGATGTATTATTGGGATTTTGATTTCAACAATCAGTTTTGTCATGGCTACTTTATAATGGAACTTTTATGAAATTTCTTCAAAATGCTACTTCAGATACAGTTTTAAATAAAATTGGGGTTTCAAGTAAACTTAACATCAGTATATACTATACATAATTTAGTTATTAGTTTTTAATTTCGAAGAGAGATCTCTATTCGGCTACATGTTTGTTAAATTTCAATGAAAACTTGTACACAAGAAGGCTACACTTAGATCAGTTTTTGTTGCCATGGTTAAGTTATTTTAAAATGCTTCTCTTCTTACAGTTTTGGTCAGTTTTCAATAAAAAATGGTATTGAAGTAGACTTCACTAAGATACATACATGCAATTCTATTTACGATTTTTTTCCCGAAGAACAACGATTTAGAGAAGTACCTCAATTGAATAATTTTGCCAGGAAGTAAACATCGAAATTTCTACAAAAATAAACACAGGTGTATAGCAGGCTTTATTTTTTTGTACAATATTACAATAGCTACAAGAAATTGAAACAAGAGGCCCAAGGGCCTTAACGGTCACCTGAGTATAATACAACAATTTAGAGGATCCATAGAGTATAAAATGAACTGAAAGGTGAAGCTTTGTTGCCCAAAAGCAAGAAAAATAGGATGATGAGGATCAACAAAATAATTAGTCTAGCATTCGGTAACAGTTCATAAATTAGGTTCTAATCTGTTCCTATATATTTATCATTTATCACCATCACCACACAGTATATTAACAAACTATCAGTCTTCTATACTATTTTAATTCCTTGTTGAAAACTCTTACATTGGCCTCTCTTGGTCTTTGATGAACATTTAATAAGACAAGTTATTTTTGTCTCATTTTTATTTATTTATTACTCAAAAGTCTAACTGATCATTAAAACTATGAAAGTACTTTTGTATTATACAATAAAAATTCTTGCATAATTCTCTTATTCTATTAACCTTTCAAGTACATTATTTACAGTGATTAATTATCAAAAGTAAATGGCAGAGGGGAATAACTCCTCTCAGAAGACTACAAATTAATAGAGCCCTTGCCAGAACCAGAACACTTGACCAAATGATCCAGATGTTCAAAAATCTGGTAAAAGTACCCTTCCTTATTAAAACATTTACTCTTTTTGCCTCTGATATGCCCAGGTGCAGAGAAGATTTTTAAAGAAATAATGCATTTTTACTACAGATTCACTATATTATCAAGAGAGCCCCCTCCCCACTGAGAAACACCAGAGCCTCTGACCTTGGGACCAGAAGTTTGCTCATTATAAGTAATCACTTTGTCTATCTGCTTAACACTAAGGAGCAGACAGGATAATTAAATAGAATTAATGCATTTTCACTATATTATCAAGTTTGCGGGTCAGGACGGACGGACGACGGACACCTTACCATCGCATAAGCTCTTCTGGTCTCTGATCAGTAGAGCTAAAAATGGAACTCGTAAATTTGCATACTTTTTTCATTGGTCCTATACAGACTTATTTTATTATTTCCTTATGAAATTAGGATGAACTCAATTTACGTAAATTTACGTTGAATTTACCTACCTTAAATTTCCATACACGTGCAAACTTCATCACGATTGATGAAATGTAGACGCAACCGGCGTAATGATAATTATAAAGAAAAAAATCACGGATTTCAAAATTGAACCAATGAATACAAATGTCAAATGGCTGCATGTATTTGTTTAAGATCTACTTGTTAATTACAGTATAATAAGGTTTTATTTCACCAGGTCCCAAGTTGTTGGTTTTTCATTTAAATTACATGTAAATGGCAGATTTGGGCTTACATACGTAGTCTGTGAATAAAATAACATTGATTGGCTATCAGCTGATGACAAAAAATAACAATCCTATTCATTATGTAATTTAAATATCTTGAATGTAATATCTTTTTCACGACTGGACTGGAATATCAAGTTCAAAAAATGATGAACCAAAAGTTGTTTTTACTGAAATAGACCCTACTAACGAAAATAGAAAATAAAGTCATATGTGTAAATTATTAATAAACACCTTCTTATCCAGGACGAGTCTCTCTCTTGCTGAGGAGATGAAACAATAATTACAGAACAGAAAGTACAAATCTTACATTAAAGTTTTGAAATGCAACAAATTCAAAATTGTCTAAAACGAAATTGTTATACCCCCGCTTCACAAGTGGGGAATGGGGGTTAATAGTGATGGGGATGTCCGCAGGTACGTCCTTCCT